ATAGAATTAATAATAGAGAAACATATTGATTGATTGTAGTGTAGCACTTAACAGTTGATTTATTATATTTATTTTAATTATAATTATTTGAAAAACATTGCTATTATTTATTTGAACGAATTAATAAATGTAAGAAATAGGAACAATTAGCGATATTTATAATTATGCAGCATACTTTATTAGTTATCAAGAGTCGTGAATGTTTATTCAGATTATACAATAAAATGTTTATTATTTAAATTAAAGGATTTTACCTTTTCGATTATATAAATGACATTTAAATATTTTTATTATTTTTAACATGCAGCGGTATAGCAGATTTACATAGACATACGAGTACACGCAAATGCTTTTGTTTCTTTTCTTTTTTGAACACGAGATATATAGAACCTTTATGAAGAGCATATTAACTTTTTATTAAATTTAATAAAAACAATTTGTACTGTCTGAATTTGTACTGTCTTTTGAACAAACTTCTTCAACGAATGAATCCCTTGTATTATATATGTAAAATTTATTATAGCAGACTTGTAAAAGAGATATAAATTTTCTTATATAATAAAAATATTACTTACAAAATTCTACTTTCACTTGACCAGTTTAAGACTTAAAAGAGTTAGGATATATGTATCTCTGTCTATGGAAGCATTTATTGTTAGCATATATCTTTGCTATATATGCTATATATTTGCTACACACACACACACACACGCGCGCGCACACACACACACACACACACACACACACACACACATATATATATATATATATATATATATATAGAGAGAGAGAGAGAGAGAGAGTCGTTTAGCCTATTTTTCATGAATAATACAAATATATTTTTTAGAAAGTTAACGATAGATGAATTATATAATGTGAGAAAGTTTGATGGTCTTTATAGTTTTCGCATCTATTTCTGTACCGATTTTTTTGTATATTATGGAAATAATGAGTATTGCTGTATGTTCATGTATAATAAAACAAAATACATTTGCTTAATAATAGTTGCTAGATATTTTTGACGCACGTATTCAGTAAACAATGCTCAATAAGTTAGTTGACCAGGAATCAACTGAGTTAAAACATCAGTCAACCCGTGAAGAAATAATACAAAATGAAAAATGCAAAACAGCTGAAAGGACATTGTATTTTGTAAATTTCTCATTCATATCATTAGGAAGTTCTTGTGTATCTTAATTATGTAAGAAATAATTACATTAATACAGAATAATACAGCATTAAGACTATCTATTTCGTTCATAATATTTTAACTTTATATATATTCACATATATAATAATTAATATTTAAAACAGTTTAAGCTTAAATTAATCAATTATAATATACACTCTTACTTTTCAACGAAATGAAAAGAAATTATGGTAAACATCACAATGAATAACTTTTGTGTAAATTTATGTGTGCCTGTGTAAATCTATTTATATATCTAATATCATCTAAAAGATAATTGAGAATAATGAAGGATGCAAATAAATTAGAGTAGAATTATTAATTATAAATTAATTCTTAATTACAATTTTTTAATTTTCGTCGTTCGTTATTAACGCTAAAATCTGAATACTACACATATATTTCTTATTATATGTGCGTGTAACAATATTCTAAATATTTTATTGAGATATTTTTTTCAAATAACAAAACTAATTAGATGTAAAAAAAAATTGAATTTATATATTATACATATTCATGTATATTTCAACTATTTTCTTCTATTTTAATTAATAATTACAGAACAAATGAAAAATTCTAGTTTAAAAAATTAAAAAATTGATAAATAAGTTTTAAAATAACTTTATCATAATTTTCATTCAATAAATTTTTCTATAAAATTAATGACAAAATTTCGTAACAACACAAGTGATTAATAATTCAATATTATTAGAGTAAGAGACGAAATATATATTAATTATAAATAATATACTAATAATTCAAATTAAAAATGTTGCATTCGTTTTTATTTACTATCATTCTAGTTCTTTCCTTCTCATTTACAAGCAAACATATCGTAAGTTCACACACACGCACACGCAGGCAGACGCTTATATGTTTAAAAATAGTTAAATACCTCTTGGATCATTCTTTGGTTTTTGATTATTAATTTTTTTTTTTAGACTTAATATTTTACAAAATAATAATCTCTACAAATTTAAACCTTATTTATTTAATATAATATACTAAAATATTATTGAAAGTTAATTCCATTTATTAAACTTAAACGCAACATGTTTCAATCAAAATGATCGACGTTTCGTGTAAACTTCATCAAAAACATATAATTGCTATTTTTCTTATATTTCCTGAATCATTAGCCTTAAATTATTATCAATGTAAAAGCATTTTACTTTTTCTTAAGTTACTTTTTCTTAATAGTATATCGATATCATATGACATATAAAGTTAATTTAATAACTTAACGGACTTATTAAGTTCGATAATTTTTATACTTTATTAATGACTTCTTTCATATGTGTGTGTGCGCGTGTGTGTGTGTGTGTGTGCGCGCGCGCGCAATCAGCAATAGAATTGTATAATTATAAGGCTATGAAATGTACATGGACGATATAAGATAGTTTTTATTGTTACGAAACACTTGTATAAAGATATTATATAAAGATTTGTAAATTACGTCTGTAAATTCCTAATCGAATGACGAATTGATAATGACGCCTGACGTCAAAGACCTGCTTACCGATTACTTCCAATTTGACACATTAAGCTCAAGGTCAAATTATATGAATTTTAAGCATGAAATAAATTATTACAATAACATTACTATAGATCCATTATTAGTATTGCTTTCATTACTACATAAATGAGATTATTATAATGCATGACTACTTTTCGAACGAAAGTCTATATATTTTATATTTATTTTGCCAGCCTTCTAGTCATTCACTGATTAACATGGCATGAAATTATATGCATATGCTTATAGAAAATTAAGTGTTGTCTTTTATTAGCAAACATAAATTTTCTTAATAAAGAATATGATTTATGTGTTCCGTTAAAATCCAAATAGTGATTGATGATTGATAATAGATATTTATACTTGTGGGTTATTGTCAACTTTATTTTCTTCCAAATTGTTTCCAAAAATTATAACTATATTATACTTACATGTGTCAAAAGTTAGTATTGAGACTTGGTAGTTAATATTATTCAGTATTTATTTGCTATGTTATTATGAGAAATATAAATGTACTAAAATGATAAAAAATTACAGATTTTAGTTGATTTTTTATTTGTTTTGTTTTGAGTGTATAGAAGTTATTCTTCAAATGTTTCAATGTGGAAACGAAATTTTCATGAGAATGCTCTTCTGAATTAGAATGTATTTATAAATCAATCAGTAATAAAAAAAGGATGGAGGTATAATATTTTACAACTGTGTGAAAATTATCTATTGGGAAAGAAGTATTTTAAAAGCATCATATTTATAAATCGATGTTAAAATTATATAAGAAAGTTGAAATAAAATTAATTATTGACCTTGGTGGGATACAATGATTTTGAAAATCATTGTCATTTTGAAATATTACTATATTTGTTATTATAAACGATTTAAATGAAAATAATTAATTTGTGGATTTAGATTACGCTAAAATCTCAAAAATAATGTTATTCGATATTATTTTAAATTATGAAAAATACGCTAATAATTTATAAAGTAGTAATGCGATGAAATAATTTTAATTTGAAAAGAATTATTTCATTTCATTGATTTTTGTACTAAGTTTGTTATTATATCTTTCGTTTAATATATTAAAATAATAATATTCGTGCTGATAAATTCTATATTTCCAAAGATTTATGTATACACGAATAAAATTGTAAAGTTTTTATAAAAATTAATTTAAGCAACTAATTATTGGTAATTTGTTTAATAATAATTCTAAATTATAATAATAAGAAATGTTGATTATAATTAGATTCTAGGTACGAGTAATAAGTATTCATTAAACTAAATTTTAACTCTTAATTAGAAAATATATGATATATAATAATCATTTATAAAAGTGTTTTTATTTTGCATTCTGCAATGATAACGAAGATGCGTTGTTACTTGACAAATTACAGCATGAGTACAATGTGTAATATAAAATATATTTAAAATATTTTGTAGTGATGTTTTAAAATATTCGTTTGATAAAGATTTTTCTTAAAAAAGAAAAAAAAAAAAAAAAAAAACCTAGAGATATTTATGTAAATCACTGAAATAAGAGATAATGTAAGACATAATAGGAAAATGATTTTCTATTTAGAAATTTTCAACGTATAATCTATATTAATTAGAAGTTTTTCTATTTAATTAATAAAAATATTAAAAATTTGTAGTTACATAATTACATATTTGATTATAAAATATGATTTAAAATTTTACAGACTTGTATATTATAAATGCATTAAAGTACTTTTGCGTCTGATTTTCCTGATTTACACCACCATGTTAAATCAGTTTAAATTGTCTTCTATATAATCCATAACGAACATTATGTACTATATTTAAGATATTTCTCGTGGCTTGACAATGGATATATGTGATTTATTATTATGGTAATTTCCAAGGACAAGATTATCTTATCCTTACTTACCTCTTGTTGGTGAAATTTTATTAACACTTATGGAAAGGCATAAGACATTAAGAACCAGAATAAGCAGAGGCGAGTTTCTGCATTTTTCTTACCAATATTCATTATTTAACAGGAATTAAAAAAAGCCGGAGATTGGAAGTACCGCTTGAGTACTCCAAGTGAATAATGCGTTGAATAAAATGATCGGCTGTTGTCCCACCCAAAATGACAGACAGAACATTGGAAAGGTCGACTAGGACAGTTAAAGGCTTGCTAGGCTAACGCTTTTATTTATACCCTGTGGGAGTGTCCTGCGTGCATCGGTGCATGCGCAGTTCGTTGCACAATGCCAGCCCATTTTCATGCGTGTTCTCCTCCCCATCTCCGAGGGAATTTGTATGCACCCGCGCGAGAATCGGATCAGCCAAGTGTCGTTGTCAGTGGAACTTAGTAAACGCCGGTGAACGTACGTTCGGGACAAAAGCCGCCGAGTTTCAACCTTCTTTCAGCCTTCCTTCGCTTCTCTTAGCATCTCTTGCTCACCTCTCAACCGTTCATAATGAGGTGAGTAACTCACGTGAAAGTCGTTAACCACGCTTTACTCGACTGACGCGCCATTCTTTATTTGTTAAAAACTTCCGATCGAAGTCAGTGTGACCTCAGCGAAAATATCGAGTTTGCACGCACATGGCCATTAATTGGTTGTCGCCTCGGCAAAAGCGAATTCGTTTTAGAGGTTTATTATACGACACATACACGTGCTTATACAATCTGTACATTTTTCCGTGTGTATCTGGTGCTGGTTACCTCAAATATACGATCTCTAATTTGCAATATATTATTATGCAATATTATGCGTCAAAGATAAACGGTAAGTGGTATTTATATGACATTTTAAGAAGAGTTTAGAAAATTTGTTTTCTTTCAAATTGAAAAGATTAATCGAATAATCGGATACTTATGAGATGGTATTTCTTTTTAACGTTTTTCATCCATTTCCGCGCCTCAAACATTAATTTTGAGCATTATTGTATTGAACGTTGTAAAACAATAACACAATGAAATGCACGACGATAAGTTTAATATGAGAATAATTTTAGATAATATTATAATAGTATCCCCATAATTAAAATATCTTTTATATAATATTTATATTTAAGCGGATAATCATTTTCCAATCAATGTAAGTGGAAATGCTATTAAAGATTTTAGATTAATGGATTAAAAGTTTTGCAACGCTTGCAATTAAATTTTTTTATTTGATAATATCTGCATTCGATTATCTATAAATCTAATAAGATTCGAAGAAAAGTAACCAGCCTTTTGCTTATAATAATTTAATTTAAAATATAATATTATAAATATAACGCTTGTCGCTCAAATTAATAACGTTAGTTAATATAATATTCTTTTTGTTAGAAGAACCGTGGCTCATTAATTATGCAATTTCTCACGCAATTATGAAAATATTCATACGGCATTTAAATTAGAAATTAAATTTTTAATCTAATTTATATAGGGCTATTGAAAGAATCGTTTGTATTTTTTTAATGAACATTTAATAAATTGTTTCATAACTTTGCGAATCAACGGAATGTAATTGTCTATTAGTTAATAAAATTATCTAGAATTCTATTTTTATAATGTTAAAAATTAGCAAGTAGTATTTGATGGATGATAAGAAAAAGTCTCTATTAATGATCATTTTTCGGACTTGCTTATTATGATTATTAATTATTCGATTGTAAGTGAAGGTTACCCATTCTTTAAAAACGCTAAATTCTTACGATTTAAATGTGAAATTGAAAAATGAAATGAACGAATAGATAGTAAGTTCACGGTTACCGCGACTATAATCAATTCATAGTTATATGATTGCGTACGATGACAAAAATTCGTCTGTTTTGTAAGAGCATGAAAGCCGTATGCTAGATTTTAAAAATTTTTAAAGATTAAAATTATCCTTAGAATTATAAATCGTATACAAGAAAGTGAGTGTGATTATGAATGTCGGAGTATACAACAATAAAAGGTATATATAATACAAAATACACTGTTTATAAATAAATGTAGTGAGCTACTTAAAAAAAATTGTTTCCTAAAACTAAGAAAATATATCGCTGATGTGGAAAGTTGAGTTATAAATATAAGTATAAAGTAGTAAGGACGCCTTGTAATTGTGTTCAGTCACATACATGCCGATACGTGCCGCTATTCCTTATTCAATTTCAACGACTTTCTTCGCGGTGACGCTGCCGTTCATTAAAATACAACATATATATGTATATTGGTCACGATTTATCAGAATGGAAAGTAAATCTACATATAGGTTTCTCATTTTCGGTAATTTATGATTCGTTCAATATATAGTACTTTTGCAATAAAAATTTTATTAAAATACTTTATTTTTTCATCGATTGTTTTGTGTTTAAATTTTCTATATTACATCGAAGTTTGGCTAACTTATTCAGTTGCTTATATTTTTAATAAGTCTCGTTTTCACTTATTAAGTTTTGATAATAAAAGGTTTTTTTTTATAATTGACGGACGGGATTGTATAAAATTACCATCTAAAATGATATGTTATAATCATATGTCATATGTTATAAACAATATGGAATATTATTATTGGAAAACAATAGTATTTCTATATAGGTTTATACTATTAAATTTATGTATACACACGCGCGCGCGCATATATTATAATTTGTACTTTAATATTTGTTAATAATTCTTATAGTTATATAAATATCTATTTTTATTAATTGATTCAAATAAATTGAAAAATAAATAGAACAGAAATAAATGGATAAATATAATATATATATATATATATATATATATATATAACAAAATTTTCTTATTTAATTTTAATATTATTTTTTAATAATTAATAATTTTTCAAAGCAATATGCCGATCACTTTTTCAAAAATACATACATTTATAAGAAAAATTGATACGTAGTATAAATAAGCAGAATATTTTAAGCTAACTTAATAAAAATCTATCATATTATCTAATGATTTTTATGAAATTAAGAGCTTAATTTCTTAATATAAGTAATTATAAAGTGATTAAATGATTAGCAATACTGGCTTCTGTAAAATTGTCGATTTTACGATAAAACATAAACTAATAACAAAGATCTTATTTTATTGCTTTATGCCCTGTATTGAAAGTTTTATACTTTACTTTCACTGCTGACTATTTTTTATTCTTTAAGAAGGTTTTCGAATGAAGTAGAGATTATTGCAACTATTTTAATTATTTTTTTAAGATAATTTGCCAAACTAATTTAATCAATACAATCATTAATATATTAAATATTGTAAATTTTAGCTTAATTATAAAGTTAATGTATATATTTTTATACATTTTATATATATTTATAAATTTTTTGTTTAACCGAAAAAAATTTAAGCACAAATGTATGGATTATGATAATATTACGTTTATTCTTCAACAAAGCACAGTTCTTTGTGTTATATGGCTGAATTTCAGAAGCAGAATAATGTTATTAATTCGATTACGTTATTTTATAATGATGCTTTCTAACTGTATAACATACTTTAGGAATGCGCTGCCCTTTCTCCTGCTGGTTGGGCTCCTTTGTGTATCACAATCAAAAGGCGATGTCCTGGAGACGATAGCGCAATGGCAGCTGCTTGACTTTGCATTCCCCTATGATCGTACATTTTTTACGGAGTTCGAACCGGATAACGTAGTGCCGACAGGTCTTGAGGTCGGCTGGTACAGAATTTTCATAGCCATACCTAGATTGCGAGCTGGTGTACCAGCTACGGTTGCTTACGTTCCCCGGGACATTCCCCTGGGTAGCACTGGACTTCAATTGCAGGTTTCTTCTTTATATAATTTTTTTCTCTTACTAATTTTTTTTTTTTTTTACTCTAGGCTTTCGTTCATTTAATATTGTGTGAATAATTAGATATCTTATACATGTATATACGTGCTCTATTGGCATAAATTGCAATTTGTTTTATCTAACAGTTGTATTAATAAAGAAGGATCGATGCGAATTTATAACTAATTAATTACCATTCATTATTTATAGGCATATCCATCATGGGAGTGGCATAGTGCTGGGAAAGGAGATTTTAATTGCTCCAAGTTGATTTCCGTTTACAGAATTCGAATAGACAAGTGCAACCGACTTTGGGTACTGGACAGTGGCATTAATACATCAATCGATGACTTTACGGTTATGTGCTCACCAAAAATCCTTATTTTTGATCTTCAAACGGATCAACTTGTTCGTACTATAACATTTCCACGTCAGGTAGCTAATCAAAGATATTAAAATTAGAATTTTCTCAAAGTAAGTCGACTACATATTTCATAATTTATGTCTACAGTCGTTGAGGCCGAATTCACTTTTTACGAATTTAATTATTGATGACACCACGGCTACAACATGCGATGACGTTTATGCTTACATATCCGATACAACGGGACCCGGTCAGTTTTTAATAGTTTTGTAATTTTTATTTATTGGCTTAAATTGTGAGTCAATTGAATAAATTAAGAATATATGACAAACGTTATTTTGTGTTATAGGACTTGTAGTGTTTGAGGGAGCTACGGGCAAAAGTTGGCGTTTTTTACATGCGTCCATGCTACCAAACGTCAATTACGTCTCTTATAAGGTAAATTTGCGTTAAAATAATAACAAAATATAATTGAACTTTTAATTAAAATTAGATAATTTTTGTATTATTAAAGTTTATGATACTGAAAATTATTTCTGCTATTTCTTTAAAAGGGACCGATGAAATTTAATGATTAATTTATATGCAAAATAATAATAAAAAAGATGAAGTTACTTCGATAGAGTTATTAGATAAGAATAAATTTTTAAAATGTTTATGTTAAGTTTGAATTTAATTTTTTTTTTTTTTTTTTGTTAATTATTCTTGTTTAAAAATTAAATTATTTTAGCTGCATTCATTAAAATATCGGATGATACATTTTAATAGAAATATTATTAAAAAATGCTTATAATTGAATATGATAAAGTTTTAAAATTATTCGTGAAATAGTTATTTACATAAATTTATCGATATGTATATAATCATTAAATTTTTTACAAAATTATTTTTACATTGGTTTTTGATTGTTTATAAAGTTTTAATTTATAAAGCTAAAGTTTTTAAAAAGAATCATATATATAATATTATATTATGTTATATTATATTTTGAATAGATAAAGTATCTGTTAAATTGAAGTTTAGTTTTCACGATAATAATGTTTTAATTAACTAGATCAAAAAAACTTACAAGTTATTAAAGTTATATTAATAATTTCCGAAAAGATGAAAAATCTTACTTCTAATAGTATAAAATTAATTTTTATGATTATTTTAAAAGTAAAGAAACAAATATATAAACAGCACATGTTAAATGCCACTTGCAGAGCGAAGTAAAAGATGTATGACAAAAAAGATCGCCGATAATATTTAAAATGATATTTTTTAATGCAGTTATAAAATTAGTACATTGATTTAGATTTTTACTTTAAAATAAATAATATATTTTATTTATATTATACATACATATACACGCACACGCACAAGCACACGTATATAATATCTTAGTATTGTATGTTTAAGATTAAAGGAATTTATATTATATATATATATATATATATATATATATATATATATATCGTATGTAGATAAAACTTTGATTGGGGGATCGGGGAGGGCGGGGGGATATAATGTATGAATAGATATGAATATTTTATATATGTACTTTAATAAATTATATAACATTTTGTTGCTATTAAAAATCAAATTTAGAATAAAAATTTTTAAAGATTATACGAAATACATTGTTAAAATTCTGGGATTATTAAGAATCAAAGGATCTTGAAACATTATAGCCCTTTACAGATAATTGTAATATATACATTGTGAGTTTGCAATTTGTTGTATTTAATCTTTGATGCGTTACAGATCGGTACGGACACTTTTGAATTGTTCGATGGGATTGTCGGTCTCGCTTTCTCTCCTAAACTTGCAACCCTGTATTACCAACCACTCGCTACAGATCGACTGTTCAGTGTCTCGACATCGGCCCTTAGATCGGGTGCCTTGGCTTTCGGTGATCAACTCCCCATTAAGGTCATTGGTCGCAAGTCGAGCCAAGGGATCGGTCTTTCCTTAGACCCCAATGACGACACAATTATTTTTTCACCGCTCACCGAGACAGCCGTAGCCGCATGGCAGCCCCACACAAACTCTCAAAGGTACTTTTCACTTATAAAATAAATGTTCTTTCATTATCATATAATGAGATGAAAAATGACCTTACTTTGTAATATAATTGTATTTCTGATATTAAATCTGAACAGTTGAAAGAGCTTTTTGTTGGAAAATATGGCAGTATAGCAGATTACTTACAATTTTAATCAAATTAATGCCGATATTGATTTTAATAAATAATTTACAAACAATAAAAATACTCTAATGACGTGAATTAAAATATAGTTATTCGATAAAAGAAATAAGATAATGTATGTTTTCCATTTTAGAATCCTGGCATATAGTCCCGAGCAAATTCAATTCGCTGCAGAAATACGATGGGCGGAGCGGGATGGCGGTAACATCTGGGTATTGACGTCAAGATTCCAGAAGTTTTTCAAGAGACAAGTCAACCCTCAAGACATTAACCTTCGTATTCTTAGGATTCGACCGGATGCTATTCTATCACAAACTTCTTACCTATTTAATCGCTATAATTTTCCATCACATTCCAATTATCACAACCAAACATATAATGTCTTTAAATAACTTGTTGATATTTTTTTTCGTCGCGATATCACGATGCAACAAGGCGATATTTTTTGATAAAAATTAAATTTTATATTATTTGTACAATTGAAAATAAGAATAATTTACCGAGATATTATATACACTCGTATCATGAAATACACTCTTACTACGATATTGAATTTTTCAATACAATTAAAGTTTTAAATTTTCTTATAATTTATACGTAAAATTAAATTATATTAAATGAATCTGTAGAGTTTATAAGTATTTCGTGGTACTTTAAACTTTGAGGGTTTTTTTTTTTTTTTTTTTTAAATAATTGTCAAAATTATACAATGATAATTAAAAATTTTATGTTAAAAAGTAATATATATTTCATCGATATCTTTTCTAGATAATAATAATTATCGCATAGCACGTTCATCTCTCACTTATTATATTTTTAAAGTTGTCAAAAATATTTGAATATAAGATTCTTTAAATAAAATATAAAATTAAGATAGGCTACGTGCTTACATTAAAAATATGCATTGTACATTGTTTCAACAGATAATCAAAAATGTGCCACGTTATGAATTATCTATAATTTAATGCTATTTTAGTAGTTTCTGTACGTAAAAGATAAAGTTTATATAATGTCTTATAGAAAATATTTTTGAATAAGCATTATCAATTATTGTTAAAAGAAATGGAACTAATTTTTATACTAACTTGTATAATTCGAGTAATTTTCTTCTACATGCAATTGAAATTTAAACCTATATACATTTAAATGATTATAAAATATGAAATATTTTTAAATATCTTATCAATATATAGATTATGCATTATACAGTAATTTCATTAAATGTTATAATTTCCGCATACAAGAATCCATTTAATTTACCATAGAAATTAATAAAACTCAATAATAAACATTTGTTATGATAATTTATTAACAGTATTTTATACATTGTACTTCGTATTTTATACATTGTACTTCGGGATGTACTTAGTACAGAATAGAAATTATTTCTATTATAAGTATAATTGGTGTGTGTATCTGTGCATGTGTGTAAAAACGTGGAACTTCGGTTAAATTCAGTATACTGATTTTATTTTAAAGTATGTTTTAGTAATATAAATTAAATTAGACAAATGTAATACATTTTTAAATTCCTAATAATTCCAGTGAATTATGTCTAACTATTTATAAAAAAAAAGTGTCTTATGTCATGTTAAATAATTGTTTAATAACATTTATGTATGGTATTGTACAATTTATTCTATTCAACATTCGCTCGTTATGTAAATACATTTGAATAAATAACTAAATTTTTGCTAATGTTGTAAACGTAAAAAGTTTATTAAGGTTTCCCAAACATAATACTTATATGAATAGCTTGAAAAAAGTTCATTTGCTTAATTTTTATCTAACTCTACTGCAAATAATATTATTATTAGAAATAGTACTATTTGACAAAGAGCTCCATAATAGAAAAAATAAGTAATAAAACAAATGGAGAAAAATAATATTTTTATAATGATATTTAAATTCCTTCTTTTTAAATAATTTAATTTAATTCAATAATAATAAATTTAATTCCATTTTCCAAATAATTAAAAATACATAATAGTTTTCTATCATATATTTTTAAAAACAATACTATTATATTAAATAAATATGATTACTAAAATTACGAAAATAAATGTTAAATTATATATTAAGTTTGGATTAGTACTAGAATTAATAATATTAAATTCTTCTAATAAAGGAGTTTAAATGAAGTTAAAAAGTTCAAATGAAAATTATAAACAATGTTTATAGGACGACAATAAAATAATATCTTATTTTTATTTTCAAATATTGTATCATGATGAAATTTAGATTATTGTTTATTATGTTTAAAATTTACATTACATTTAAATTAAATTGTACAATAAAATAATCTAGAATTAAAAATTAGATATTTAAAAATAACCGATGTATTTAATAATAATAATAAGTACTTTTGTAACATTTACGTAATATTATATGTAAATCTTATTGACTTTAATTAATATTAATTAACGAAAATATATTGAATTTTAGTAATATTTATTTTCTGTAATTGATTATACCTAATAATTATATTATTTTATTATTTTGAAACTTTGTTTAAAAATACATTGTTTTAATTTTTTCAAGTAGGAGTTGAAATTTTAATTAGTCTCTTTCCTTACAAATTCGACAAGTTTGATAGATAAAAATCGTAAAAACGTTGAATAAACCCCTAAAATTCATAATTAAATTGATTATATTGTCATTTCGCAATATTTTAAGATGACGCGTAGAAATAGATTGAAGTAAAATGTTATGCTTACTTAATTTCAATACTTAAAAGCAAAATATTATTTTTTATGAATACTTGTAGTGATTAAATCACTATTTATACCTTTATTATATCAAATACAATAGATAATTAATTTTATTTAATATTGTGAAGGGTTATATACATTTTTACTTTATCGCGATATTTTGATTTAAATAATATCAATTTATAAAATAAAATTTAAATGATTTTCTTTCAGCTAAAACATAAACTTTTCATGTTTGTATAAGTTTTATTTATAAATTAAATCCGATTACTATTATACATTTGTTCTATGTTATATTTTCATTTATAATTAAATGTATGATAAATATACATATTACTTTATTTATATTAAATTGTACGTTTAGACTTTGAATATTAATGTTACGAAAACAATTTCATTATTGTTGAAAATTCTTAAATTAAATTCTAAAAGCATATGAAAAAATTAAATTTTGTATTAAATATATTTTTCAAGAATGCTATTATGGATAATTTGTACGATCTTAATACCTATTAATTACATTACAAGGTTGATTTTCCGGTTTGACTATTAGTACTTCGTACGGAATAATATAATAAAACATGTAATATTACTTTCGCATAGTCGGTAAACTTGAAAAAATACAACTATGAATTTTTTTTTTTTTCAATTATATCATCGTGACTTTATTTTCTTATTTACTTATTGTTGTAATTTGTATAATAAAAGCAATGATATTCAATTAATTTTACAGTTAATATAATGCGATCTGTTGATAACAAACATTGTCTCAAAAACGAAAAGTTAAAATTATAAATCATTTTTATCTTAACACAAAAATAATTAATGCATCATTAAATATGAAATAAGATGATTGTACAAAAACTCAAGCATATAACTAAGATAAGGTTAATTTGCTTAATAATTTATATTATTTATGAAAAGAATGTATTAGTAATTTTCCATATTATATTCTATTAAACTTTATATGATATACATAAGAGCATCCACGACAAAAAGTAATATTGTAGAAAAATGTGGAAAATATAAATAATTAATATACTTAAAAATGTAACTTAAAAACAAAATAATGACGTAATAATGAAACTACTATTAAAATTATTAAATCCAAAATAATTCAAATGTTTCAACTTTATTACGGAATCGCTGTTTTTTAGAATTGAAAATAATAAATGTTTAAAAGTTATATACTTTATGTACAATTGCTTAAAGATTAATTAAAAATTGCTCTTTAATTGAACTTGTGAACGTTATGTACGTCTAACTGAGTTTAGCTTTTAGAGTGAAATCAGTTTTTGTCATCATACTTTACATACAAATTAATTAATTATACTTGCTGCTTAATAATTTAATGCTATAATTAATTAAAAAAAAAAAAAAAAAAAAAAAAAACAACGACAAAATATTTAATAATATTTATCATATAAAATAAATTTTATACAAAACTTTTATAAAAGAAAATAGTCGATAAATTAAAGTGGTTTATAAAAACAAAAAATGGTTGTTTCTTATAATTATATTAGAAAATATTTATTGATAAAATAAGGTAATTTACAAATGTATAATTATAAAATCTCATACGTAATTCTTATAATTATTATCTAATGAAAGTTTATAGAAAACAGTGCATGTAATAGTAAGAGAATCTTTTGTCGTGCTGTGTTTCATTAGCGTATTAATCATTTAATTTTTATCGTATGATGACATCTATTAATTTTATAATTTTCATGCATAGGTATTTACTTTTTTAATGTAATTAAATACAGGTGTAATTGTGTATGAATTACACGAGATATACACGTATGAAAGCAATAGTTAATGTAGTTTATTTATGAAATCTTATAATGACTTTCATAATAGTCGCGTGGTATTTGAAACGAGTATATGTACGTAAAATTTGGAAGGGAGCAAAATAGAATTGGCCCCAGTCGCGGAATAAAGAAAATGTCGCGAGCAGTGCGGGTGATATATTAACGGGAATGATGATATAAGTCATTTTGGACTAGTTGCATGTTATTTGAAGTGGAATATTTTTGATCGATGAGTAGACGACTCACATCGCTAGCGTTCAAATAAATCATTTTATAATAAAATGCAAGGTGAAACGTAATGGCATTTCCGTAAGACATTTCAACGATACTCGAAACGTTGTATTAGTGAACCCTATTATATGCATATCTCGTTAATGCAGTATACGATTGCTGTATTAAAAAAAAAAAATATATATATATATATATATATATATATATATTTCATAAGAACTGAATACATATCTTAATGATTTCGCGGTATATTTTTCTTCTAAAAAAAGAAAATAATTTTTAATATTGTTTTAACGCGTAACCTAATTCATAATTCTATAGAATAAATTCTATATAATAAATTCTTGGTATAAACTCTCAGGATGCGTTATCGTTATTAATTAATAAATCAATATATACATATGTACATATAATTAAATATAAAGTTAATAAATAAATTTAATAATTAAAGATGCTTTTAAATAATGTTAAAAATGTAATTGCTCAAATATTTTTTAAAATAAGTATTCCGGATAAAGAAGAGAATTTAATTTTATAAGAATTAAATCTATGTAACGTGCCTTTAAATTTTATAACAAAACGTTAAAGATTTAGAGAGGTAAGATAGAGAAATGTTTTGCGTAGAATGTTTGACTATTAAATAAGTGTATGTATGTATGTATGTATGTATGTATGTATGTATGTATGTATGTATGTATGTTTTTTCTTTCTTTTTTTCTTTCTTTTTTATCTCTTTTTTTTCTTCTTTTTATTAAAGATTAGTCTACCAAGCATTTTTTTGGCAGAAATTTATTTCAAGGCTGTAAATACTTATAGAAAGTTACATTTATGAATTTCGTAATAATGTAATACAGTATATATTAGAAATAGTTCAATATAAATATTCAAACTTTTACTTTTACATTGTTTTAAAAATACTATCTTACAAAATAGAGAGTTTCTAATTTTGAAAATAGCGTGAAATTAAAAATTGTATCGATCAATGTGAGTATTTCGCGCAAACGAATAGGTAAGATCTCGTTATATCGATGTTTATGAAAAGTATGTATTGAAATACGTTCGAGCCTTCGGCGACTTTCTCATACATAAAAATTACCTTGGTGAACATTATGCCATTAATGTTGTATATTTATCAGTTGGCGGCAAATGAGCGGTTCGAGAATAAAGATTTAAGATTCCATCAAGCTTTGGGGTTTTCCTCAAACTTAGCCGACGAGGCGCAGTCGGGAAGAAGCGACCACAGCAGTTGGAGAAAAAGAATCGCAGGAGCAAGTCCTTTCGGTTCGTTCGTCCGTAAGTTTTATTTATTCTTTATTACTGCCTCGGCGCGTCTTTTCGTTTTATCACGTCTTTTCACATCGACAGAATTATCTTCAAGCAATTTTAAAACATAATGTACGATTAATTGTATGAACTGAGCGAGTCTGTCTTAATCAAATACTGAGCAATTATCATTCAAGCATACCAGTTCAATATGTAAATGCGTTGATTTTCTGTAGTTAGGAAATATTTTAAATATTAGCAAATTGCCATATTTACGACCATAATAATTTTTCGTTTACCAATAAATAGGAGACGGAGGATAATGCGTTTGTAGCATTAGCAATGAAATCTATCGACATATCAATGATTTAATTTAAACTACATATGCCAATAAGAATGATAATTTTTCAAACAATCTTTTTATATATTCCATATATTTATTATTAAATTTAAATATTTCTATTGCAAATTAATATCGAGTATCCAAAGTATGTATAACGTGCGCGTTATAACCCATTACCTTCGTTATATTATGCATTACTATATACAATTCGAATCTCCATCTTAATATTCTTATATCCTTCAAAGTTCACTTAATAATAAATCTGTTATTAATCGTATTGTTGAGAATAGAGTAACGATATTGATTGTTTTCGTGCAATTTCGTAGCGATCGTTCGCGCGCACTTCAATTTGAATGACAGCGGCGTAAAGACAATAAACAGAGTAGAAGTGAAAAGAAAACAATGAAGGCGTTTATCTATCCGTACGATCCTTGCATTCCAAACATTTTACTCAATAACGCAAGAAAATGGCGGTAGGTGGTAATAAAAAGCAGCGTTCGAATTCCAATAATGAGTGAGAAATACCAAACATTCGGCGCGGTCGCAGCCATAGCATAACCATAGTGATTTATTCATACATTAAATACAGAGAATTGCGTTCTATTTGTGGCCTTTTTTGGGTCGCGGGTGCCGTCAATCTTTAAGCTATTTTCCAGCGAAATAAGCCTTTACTTTTTTACGGGTGTGCCCGATCGACCGTTTAGCCCGATGAACGACTGCAATGCCAATCGTAATCGTAATCGTAATTGTTAATCGCACTCCAGCCTATCAATGAATCGTTCGTTGGTCGGCTCAAAGGACGAAATCGACTAATCGGTTCGTCTGGTTTTCACGCCCGCGATTCCCGCACCGCTATCCAGCCGTTTGCGCGAGCTCCCATTTCACGATGAAACACCAGCCCCCTTCTCGCCGAAGGGACTCGATAATAAATACGTCTCGCTAGTTAGGGATAAGGGGAGATCTGCCGATGTAGGCCACAGTAGGAAATAATCGACTTCGGAGCTTGCGACTCGAGTGCTCGAAGGCGGGGGTAACCCGGGGCCCGTCGCTTTTTTTCTTGTCAAGCAGTGAAAGTGGCCAATAACCGAGGACCAACACCATTGCCGCAGCCACTGGGAAAGGAACAGTGACAGTTCGAATACACTCGTGGCTCTGAGGAGGTGTTGTGTGTTACCTCCTCCAGCAATTGTCGCGCAACGTCACCGCACAACCGGATATCGGGGGCATTTGCATCTCGGCTCCGGCGGCGAAGGTGAGAGCTCAAGCTTGTCGCGTTTGCGGAGGCGACGATGATTCGTACTTTACGTATTCTTATATCAGATTCGCGGTTCCAATGGTTGGTCTCACTGCCAGCCGCAGCGCCTCTTCGTTTCCGGGATAACAATGCCTTTTAATTAGTTGGATAATTCAACAGATCGTCTCCCGACCTTCTGCAATAAATCGACTCGGATTTTATTTTACTTACTACTGCGGGTCCAACGTTATTTCCTTCCGCTCGAAATTCACTGGTGAATCCGTACAAGAGTGTTTATTCCTCCAATGTAAATATTCATTTCTCTCATAATAATCGCACTCGTTTTAAGCTTCGTCTACGTCTTTGAATTTGAATAACGTTAAACTCTAGCTCTTGCAATTTTTTGCAAATAAGCTTTACAAGAAATTTTACGCATTCACGACCGAATAGCCAGTAACTATACATTTATATATATATATATATATATATATATATAAAATTTACCATTGTTTAGAAAATATTCCAGCTTATAGTTTAATTGACTTATTTTGATTCACACGTACAAGCACTCGTAACTTTATGATTACAATTAAGTCGATCGACTTATTGCAAATGTTTGTTAGATCGTCAATATAATAAAATGCAGAGGAATTGATTTTTAAATATAATAACCAACAACTAATAAGAAATATTTTAAAGCCTAAATTTAATTTATTCTGGCACAATTTAAAATTATTTAATTAAGTTTTTAATTCGTAATACATTTAGGACTCGTTAATTGCTATTAATATTTATAGTTATAATTTTTCTCTCTAAATATGTCGAATTAATTATGTATTGCTCTTCTCTTGAACAATAAGTATAACAATTTTGTAATAATTATTCATGTTAAAAAACATATAAATTACAAAACCTGTTTTGTTTTTCTCTTCTTGTTTTTTTTTTTTTTTTTTACTAAAAACTAGAATGTAATTTCCCATTGAACCACGAATAATTTTACAATTTTCCTTTTTTCGTTTCAATAATATATTAGGCTTTTCAACATTTTAAACTTTATGTATTAAGAAACTTGAAAAATGAGCTTATTGTAAAAAAAAAAGAATATTAAATTAATTGAATAAAAATTAATTAAAATTAATTAATTATAAAAAAAAAAAAAAAAAAAAAAAAAAAATAAATTATGTTAAAAGCTGTTGTTGCTCCAAAAATCATTCGAAGGTTAAAAGTAATTAAACAATATCGAACTTGAATATTTCTAATCGACTTTAATTTTAATAATCACTACTATTTATTTAATGTTTGAATTACGACCTTTTAAAACTGATAACCTTATCTGCTTAGACATTTTTTATTATTCAATAATTGTTTACATTATTTATTGAAATTCCGCTATATATAGATAAATATCATTGCTTTTATTACCAATAGCAGTAGGGTGAAAAGTTTTCAGACAAAAAATCATTTATTACTTATTCTTAGTGTCTCGTAAAGACAATTAAAGGTATTTCGACATAAAAAAACTTTTCTTCAAAAACATAAAATGTTTAACTTAAAATTATAATAAATTAGAAAATAGAATTGTAAAAAATATTGATTGAATCTTATTTGCTGTATAATATGTTTGTATGATTATCGTAACAATTTTTCAATAGTCTTTTACTTAACGATTTCTTTGTCTCAAAACTCAATTTAATTTTAATTAGTTAACAAGGAAATGCATACACGGAAAACAAATAAACCACGTCTTAAAAATGTTCGGGTCATAATTACTTGGTGTTTATATTTAATAAGGTTTAAGGCAATAGTAATTGAATCGCAAACCGAAGCATTAATCATTATATAATATAGAATAATATAGAAGAACATCGACATGGTCTTTTTTTATATAAATATGACGGTATTATTAGAGAATAAAGGAAACCATTATTTTTGTTTAAATCTTGGCAAAATCGCATATCAGAACCTTTTTGAATTACTCTATGAATACTTATCATCTTGCATGAAGTTGATATGCGGAACTCTATTTTTCATGTTAACTAATAAATTTAATATTCATTTTAAATTGAATTTGAAATCGTCCTACCTGAACGGTACATAATACTTTCTATTGTCAGGTACTCTCTCCCTCTCTCTCTCTCTCTCTCTCTCTCTCTCTCTCTATTACATAAACACGCACTTATTCATTCTGCAGTTCATTCGAGCTCCGTAGTTCTTAGGTATCCATATATTATAATTACGACGATACAAAGATTAAATCAGAATCCGGTTAGAACGAAGTTATATTTATTAAGATATTTCGTATTTATCAGAATATATTAAAATACAATTTTCTTATCTTGAAATGATACGAAAATATAATGACATACGCGTTATTTACTGTCACTATATTTATTCACATATTCATCTTTCATTAAGGCTTGTTATGTTTTTATTTCTTTTGTTCATTATTGGTTTTCTTTGAATAGTATACATGCAACAAGTGATCTAATATAATAAACAAAAGCGTATCATTATTATCCATGCAGAATAAAAATATTTGTAATAATTTTTGATATAGCATTATAAGATTGATAGTTTAATGTTATAAGGCATATTGTTTAATATTAGCTCGGCCATTAATATTATAAACTGCAAATATTAAGATGATAACAAAATGAATATATTTCCTTCTTATGTGTGTGTGTGTGTGTGTGTGTGTGTGTGTGTGTGTGTTTGTGTGTGCGCGCGTGTGTGCGTGTGTGTGTATATACTTGATTTTATCATTAAAAATTTTCAGATATACGTTTTACTAATTTACATAAAATTTTAATTATTTAATGCCAGTGAGATTTTTATACAAGTATATGTATTTAATGATAAAATCTGTAAAGTCTATTGCATTGATTAATGGCTCTTTATTTCAAGTTTAAAATATACGAACAATAAGCTAGTACGTAAGGAAGCTTACAGATAATTATAATTAAATTTGTTTATTGACAAGTTTATGATTATTTTGTAAAAAAAAACCTACTGATTAATATTTTTAACAATATAAATTGTTTTCATATTACATAAGATATAAGCATTTAAACATAAACAATAGCGTTAAAATAGGTTGTTATTATAATATTGCAAATACTGGCTTTTAGCATGATTTTATCAACAAGTATTTTTTCAATATTTGAAATGGTTAGAAATTCTCTATATACTTTATTAGTAAGTGTAATTGCATAAATCACTCATTTAATTTTTAGAGCTGCGTGTTTACCGGGCAAGCAAAATAAGTTCAAGTGAGCTAGTGAGGGAGTGAAGTAAATAAAGCGAAAGAAGTGATTAAATATAAGTTTAATCATTAAACAATTTTACTAAGAATATTTGCCATATTATAATTTTTAATTTATGATTAAGTTTTTTAATGAATTTATAAATAGTTATTTACAAGCGAATAATTTTTAAGCATTTATTTATTTGTTATTTTTCTTATTTATTTCTGTTTATTATTCGTTAATTTAGATATTTTTTATTTTAGTAAAAAACTATAAATAAGAAAACAGAAAAAAGTTCCAAGCCTGTGAGTACTTGTAATATAGCATTAGATTCATTAATAAATAGCGTCGTTTTGGGTCCTTTGAAATTGTCCTTTGGCAATATAAACGTCGATAATCATTTTATTCTCAGTTCTGCATCTATACTATGTATTATTGATTCTAATGTATGAAGCTAAACCAATCAGTATTAGTGTAGAATTGATATTTAAACATTTTTCAATCGCTCGATGGGAATTTTACAGTAAAGGTAAATATCCTCTTGGCAGTCGTAAAATACCTCAGTATAGCTAACGTTTAGAATGTGCCTAATCGTTGGTAAGCAAACGCTTTCCGTTGATTTATGAACTACTTTTTTTAGCTTTATTTTTCTGATAGGGGTAGATTAATTATCAGTACATTAAAACTGCGTGATACATGTATCTCTAAATTATTTATAATAATCATGACATTGTTTTCGGCTGTATATGACTTTGTCAACAAAATTTTTTTCAAATATATATATATATATATATATATATATATACAAAAGTATCGTTCGAGTTCGAGTTCTTATGTAAAAATATCTTACATATATAGAAGCATCTATTTATTATATGTAAATTTATTATAATAATAGTTCACTGTATTATAATAAAAATAATAGTTACCTTTTCGAATCAGTGCTTTACAATTTTATCTATTTGAAATCTATTTAAAATAAAATATCAATTAGGTATAATAAAAGCAATGCATAATACCACTATGCCATAGTTTACATTTTTATTGTCGTTCATAGGTAACAAAGAGGATTATTTCATCACGGGATGCGATTGGCAGGCCTGAACAGTCTCTGCTACTGTCTAGCGGTGTTTGAGACAGTAGCCACGTGCTACAAAACGCAACCTAATGATTATATTAGTAAGCTAAGGAACGTGTATTCCTGGAAGTCCTTGGATTTTGTCTTTCCGAACGATGTCGTTAGGGAGGCAGCAATCAGGAGTGGCAGGTTCAAACCTGGAGCCGCTATTCCCATTGACGTCGACGTATATTATGGTAATTTCATTAATGACTGTCAGTGGAATTACTAATTTATAACATTCTATTTTGTATAATCGATTTGCTATAACATTACATACTTGATTTCATATCAGAATTCATAGACTGTGACATTTTTATTTAAGTTATTATTTTCTAATTATATAAAGTATGTTAAAACAAGAACTTTAATAATATTCATATTTTTATATTTGAAAAGGAATTTCCAATGTGATTTATAAGCAACTGATAGATAATTCCGGGAATAAAAAACATAGATACAAAATGTCTATGTATTGATAAGATATATAATATTTTATTCAACCATTAATTATATTAACATTATATAAATTGTGTATAATACAAGTTAGGCATGTTTCTTTATTATTATTGCTTAAACATCATAATATAAAAATAATTATCAGACTTGCATGATATCTAGCATGATAATTCCATTATCAAAAAAAGCTCAATATATTAAATTGGATTAATAATGTTATATGAAATATTAATTATTATAATCTTTATATATATATATATATATATATATATATATATATATGTATTTAATATTCATTCTAATCATGCTCATTCTTCCTTAAAAGATTTTTTTTAATTTTTACAATTTTCACTTTTTTCGTTTTACTATTAATTTTTCTGTAATATTAAATATAATTTCAATGCTTCTATATTTATAATTTACGATAATTCAAGTTTATCATGAAAAAATGATAAAATATCATTGAAAAATGATAGGAATGTTAATTATTGAAACGAATATTATTTAATTCATTTTCAATATAACTATTTTAAATGCAAATTTAATCCAAATTTTTATAAATTTTGAATAGCTGTAAAATTATTAGAATTCTAATACATTTAAACGTATTTTGAGTATAGAAGTTTTTTTTTTTTAGTGCACTAATCGAATAAGTAATTTTTACAGATTACTATGTTACTTTGCCTTACGAATATCGGAATTAATTTTATGAGATATAATTTGGATTTATATTTTCTAATATATTTGATAAATACAATTAAATTGAAGTTTTACAATGACGCAATCAAGATACAGTTGCCTTTATGTATTTCTTTTAATTATGGAAGGTGTTAATCCTGTCGTATTTATGGCAATTCCCCGGCTGGAACAAGGGGTACCAATAGCCATAGGATATGTGACAGATGCTATATCCAAAGAAGGTAATCCATTAATTGCTCCATATCCTAGTTGGGAGTGGAATAAATTGGGTGATTGCGATGCCATAACAAGTGCTTACAGGATACAGGTATATATATGTGTGTGTGTGTGTGTGTGTGTGTGTGCGCGTGCGTGCGTGCGCGCGCGCGCGTGTGTGTCTATATATTTTTATTATTCTATCGATATAAATATAATTATTTTTATTTAATTAATTAAATTTTTTATTCAAGCTAAATTTTAATGTTGAATACATCATATAAAATATAAAAAATAAAATATAATTGTGTAATAATAAAAATAATTTACTTTTATAAAATTATTGTGTGTGACAAATATGAACAAAATTTTTACCAAAAATATTGGGAACAATTTTGAAAGTTATTGCAATATATATTAGATATAAATTCATTATTGATGCTCATAATTATTCAATGTTCTTATAACTTAATTCAAATTAAGATGTTTTTGTGGAAAATTTAATAACGAATTGAGTTTTTATTACGATATAATAGTCGATTACAAGCAGCATATTTTATTTGATATTATTTTATTGTGAAAACTAATTTATACTTATTATAATGAAGGAAATTAGTGGATTTTCACATTAGGCTATTATTAATGAAATGCAGTTGCGAAAAATGTGAATTTTCACAAAAAAATTTGTGTAATGAAACAGATTGATGAATGTGGTAGACTATGGGTCTTAGATACAGGCGTGATTGGTGATCAGCGAGTTTGCCGTCCGCAACTTCTTTCCTTCTGCCTGACGACGAACAAATTATTGAGCCGCTATAGATTTCCACGGGACCAGTATAATGAAAAGTCTCTTTTTGTTACGCCACTAGTTGACGTGAGGACAATAGACGTCAAGTGTCGCGATACCTTTGTTTACATTGCCGATGTGACTAGCTTCTCGCTAATCGTTTACGATCATATTAATGCTCGCTCGTGGAAAATTAATAACAATCTTTTTTACCCTTATCCTCAACATGGCACCTTCGAAATAAGAAACGAGGCTTTCGATCTTATGGATGGAATACTCGGAATGGCATTAAGCCCTATGTCATTAAATGGAGATAGAATTCTCTATTTTCATTCATTAGCCAGCACAACGGAGTCTTGGGTTTCGACATCGGTTATTAGGTATTGTTCTTTATTTAACATTTTGCCTTAAAAATCGGCTGATTTGATAGCGCGTTAATTTGGTTTTCAGAAATTTCACGCTATTCGAAAAGAATCCCGATGCCGCTGCAAGATCGTTCAAGGCTTTCCCTATGCAAAGAACAAGTCAATCCGCTGCTGAATCGATGGATGCAAATGGCGTTCTATTCTTCGGCTTAATGAGTGAACTATCAATTGCTTGTTGGAATACTAAGCATTTTCCCGAATTTGGAGGTAAAAATATTGAGACACTTGTCATTGATGAAGAGACACTGCAATTTGCATCTGGTTTAAAGGTTGGTTTCATTATGTATTGTCATTATATTATGTATACCTTATTAAAATACAATTAAATAAATGATTTTTTCTTTCTTCTGTTTGTATAATGAAAAAAGCATTATCATCAGAATATATCACCATATGAATTTAACTGAATTTAATTTTTAAATTAATCATAAACGCGTGGACATAAATTTGAGTACAGATTTTGAAAAAAGAGTGATAAACAAGGACGTTTTTGGCACGTAGGTAGTGAGGGCACGAACAGGCCGACAGGAAATTTGGGTATCCACAGCAGCGTTCCAACGTTACATGAGCGGAACTCTTCATCCGAATGAGACCAATTTCCGCATCCAGGCAGGATTCGTGGATGAATTAGTGCGTGGTACTAAGTGTGACGTACCAGCCCTCGATATTTACAACCAGAACACTGGACAGTTTCTGACAGCGACGAAATGAAGATCCCGGTACCGCGAGAAGTCCAGCCAACGTTGGCTGCATTATCAACATTTTGATTATGAGAGTGACGAGAACTTGCCGAAAGATTTTTCAAATGATGATAATGTTTACATCAAGTTCGGCCAACGGCTGTCGGTTGAAACATCCCATCGCTATTGGGGACCACCATATTTTTCGCGGTACCGAACCTTATCATATTGCCCTTACCACAAGGACAAGGTACACAATCACGATCGTTACTGTGGAATATCTACGCCGACTCTTTATACTTTTTTTTTCGATCACGGCGAATATTAATCACGATGAATATTAAATATTTCTTTTTTTTTTTTTTTTTTTTTTTTTTTTTATGGATGGAGTCGAGTAATAATGTTAATCAATTCTCATTCGTAAAATTACTTTTTAGCAACTCAATTTCTTTTGATATCCTTTCATGTTTTGCATCTGATTAGTTTATTCATATTAAGAAATAAAAATCTGATATATTTAAAGTACTCGTTTCTAAAAGATATTTCGAAATTAAATGAATTTATAGAGAAAAGTTTGAATCCTTGTTTGCACGTGGATTAACTTATGTTGATTATTTTATATTTAAATTTTTTAGAGTAAAAAAATTAAATTTATCAAATATATATTTGCATATAATTTCATAAAAGTTATTCTTTCGCTATTTAGTTTTTGTTAGGATATTATTGTCGATAATGAAATATAATATTACTAGCATTTATTAATGGATGAAAAAAGTAATATATTTCTTTATTTAATGAATGGAAATTATCAAAATATTTACACTCTTTGCTGGCATGTATCAATAGTACGTGCAAATGTAAATAAAAATATTACTGTATATCTCAAGCTTATGTATTTTCGAAATATTTGGAAAATATCTATTTAAGATTCAAGCGATTATTTATATTGTATTATCTATTATTTGTTGGAAATTGTATTACTAAATTATCATAACAAATTCGAAATGATAGCAATGGCTAAAGTATTTATAATAGAAGAAACTATTCTAAGCTAAATTTAATTTTTATACTAATTTATAGATTATCCGTTAGCTTTAACTTATATAACTTTGTAATTATTAATTTTACAATTAATGCGGATATTTTTGATACCTTGTCACAATATTCGTGTTAATAATAAAAAAGTTGAACGACAGTTACAATTTATAAAAGGTAACTGTTTCATTAAAAATTAAATTATATGTTTGGGTAGTTTTTAACACAATAAAGATTAGTATATTTCAATAATTGAATATATTTTTATATAAAATCTTTTGTAAATTTTAAATAAATCTAATTACTAAATAATAAAACTCAATATTCAATTCAAAGATTGAAATATTTTTATACGTCATTATTAAAAATCTATTTTGTATTTTCTAAAGCGTCATATGTTTATCAAAGTATATTTAATACATAAATGGTAATAAAAATGTTAAAATTCATGTATAAAGTATATAAGTAAAATATCCATACTTAAGTTTGTAATTAAAGCTATGAATGATAAAGTAATATAAAATTATGATGCTTGATAATTAAAAAGATTGTTTAAAAAAAATAGAAATATGAAGGAAAAATAGGATAAAAAATCTATTTCTAAGACGTAAATTATTTATTCCATGCTTATTCTTATTATTTAAAATTTCAATTTCAAATTAAAGTAATACAAAAACCGAATATAAACTTTTGAGAAATGTATTAGTTAAATCTATAATTATTTTCTATTAATAAGTTTTAAATTGAATTTTGCAAAAATGATTAAAGTCAAAAGTAGCATTTAAATTAAATTCTAGACGAAACTGTAATTTGAAACGTAAACTTTTAAACATTGTTTTATTGAGAAAGTAATTAATTAAATAATTTCCGTTTTTGCGTCTCAATGTTTGTTAAATACTTTAGTTTTTTTTGACAAGGTTACACGTATTTCTTATGTATGCTAATTCTGAAAAGAGTTACTTAATATAAATAATTTTAGTGTGTTATTTGTCAATAGATATTCAAACTCAAGGACATTTAATTTATTCAAGTATTTCCAATGTCTAAGCGCATTGACTAATTCGTATTGTAATTTTATGCAGTACATTTGTGTACACAATCAATTATCCACAAATACAGCTATATCGATTTATATTGTTATTTTGTGTATATTATAAAAATTTTTGTAAAGTATGTCGTTATAATCAATACAATATTTTCTTACTGAAAGAACAAATTGAAAAGGATTAATTTCCATGCTATTAATATTTTTATTATTTCGAATCACCAAATTGCCTTAAATTCAGTCATTCAAATTTAGATAAGAAAACTTAATTTAAACCTGCGAAATCGTCATTTATTTAGTTAATCAATATTTCTTTAGAAATAATACTTAGTTTAAACAATATTTTATTATTTCAAATACTCATATATATGTTTATTTACAATGGCATTTTGAGTTTAAAAATATTGCATAATTAAATATTAAATAATTCACAAATATTGATGTATGACAGAAATAATGTATATTATGCATAATCTGAACCATCATACACATAACAATTCAACATACTTGCGTAGTAATTAATAAAATGATCTTTTATTTTAACGCGAGTTTTATACCATTTTATGCTGAATTCATTAGAAGCATTTAGTCTTTTATTTTATCAAATATTGTCCTATAATTTTTATGGGTATATTTGAGTAATAATATAATAACAAATTATATATTTACTCTACTAAGTATATATTTATAAATTATTTAAAAAATTTGAAATATTTACAATTTCATTTAATAAATAACATTTGTTATGTAAAAAAATATTTAATGTTGTATGAAAAATAGAAGAATTAATATTTTTCGAAATATATAGCATCTATAATATTTAACATACTCATATATATTCACATATAGTATTTACAGTTGTATCACGACATTATTATTAATAAATTTAAGATAATTACGATAGTCTTAAAACTTTTCGATCCAAATTTATTCTAAATTTATAATAAAATTGTTAATATATATATATATATATATATATATATATATATATATTACATATAAAGCATAATTGAAAGCCATAATTAATTAATACAACAGATAGAAACTTATAAAAAATCATCATTTGATTAATTTAATTTTCATGTAAATTTTATTTTTAATTGTATATCAAAATCAGTTTTAGAAATTAAAATCACGTTTAAATTATGTTTAAATTTAAATTTTCAATTGTAAGAATAGTTATTAAAATGTACAATAAATTAAATACCAACAATTAGAATTGTTAATAATCGATTATTTTCAATTTTTTAGTTAAAATACAAAATCATCGATAATAACTTTTATCTTTTGAGCTCTAAAAACTATTTGAAATCTAGTATATACCTAACGTAGCATGATATTAATATTCATTTTTAAAATATTCTAATATTAGCATATAATTTTTATAAAGATTAATATTATAAATCAGTTTTCATTTGAAAAAATCAATAAGTGGTATGGTTATAGTGTATATAAAATTATAATAGCAGAATGCCATAATAAAATCATTAATGTCTTAAGATACAAAGTGAAAGTTGCTAATTTAATAGTTATTTTTTAATAAAAAGTAGAAAAACATGAGATTATCAGCAATAAAAAATATACTTTCATATTTCATTAATCAATACAAGACACTAAAAAATTAATTCAATTAACAAATTATTGTAAATTTATTATTAGTAAAAATTTTCTAAAATCTATTTGTTATTGACACATTTGCGTTATGAATTTTTTTTAAGTAAATTTAAAATATTTTTTAATAAAATATTGGCTGATAAGTTAAGATATTAATTTGGAGTAAAAATTCAAACTTGTTGCGTATGTTTAAGAATATTGTTTATATTTTTTATTTTATTATATTGAACGAAATTAATTTAGTATAACTAATTTTCAAGTGTTTGCAAAATTGATTATTCATGAATCGTTAAACTATGACAAATTATTTATTTCCAGAAATCAAATGAAAATTATAGCTAATCTTAAGCTTACAAAATTATTCTTAAAATTATTATTAATAAATGTGTTAATAAATTGTGAATAATATTAAGTTCATAATGAATGAATGCATTATTTATTATTGTTGTTATAAATATTTTATGTATGAAAAACTAGTCTGAATATTTTATATTAACATAAGATTATGTTATTAAGTTTTTTCATTCCTGATACATAAGATTATATTATTATGTTTATTCGTTTATAGTATAATATACTCACATTTTTGTTTTAGACATCCGTTCGTATTTATTGAAGAAATTTTATGCTAAATATATTTTAATTGCACATATAAAAATTATATAATAAAATTTATATATATATATATATATATATATATATATATACATATACAATCTCGTTAGCTTAATCGAATTAATTATAATTAATTTATATCACAAATGAATAATTTTTATTCTACAAATTAATCATTAATTGTAATCATTTTATTATAATATATGGATTTCTGGTATTTTTTTTTTTATTTTAATTTGAATGCTGTATAATTATAATATCGTTATAATTTTAGTTATTTTCATCAGTAATTTTATTTGTTAATATCAAATAAACGGCTGCTATTGACATAAATTATGAATTATTAGAACAATATTAAACTTTATATAACTATTCTCAGTTATATAAATAGATTTTATTTTTTATAAATATATTCTTATTGCTTTAGTTGACAAGTTAATCATTCTATTTTAAATGAGAAAAGAATATACTGAGCATTAAAATATATCTTGAATATTAAAAATCTTTCAAATTTAAATAGTAAAATTCAATTGTATATTTATGCAGTTCAAGACAGTTTATCCGCATATTATATTTTCATTGCACAAATTTCTTTATAACAGTTATCAATTAATAAATAATTACTAATACAAAACCTTTATGTAAGCCCATATAATTTTTATTGAATTTGTGAAACGAAGCATTACAATACGAAAATGTAAAATTATAATGTAATTCACGGAATCAGACCCTAATAGGAAGTTCGCAAAGTAATTTAAAATTAAATGATGTATAACAAGAAAATGTATTTAGTTAATCAAACACAATAAAGTTATTTTTTTTAAAGATATGTTTATACACGACTTTGAACATATAATAATAAAAAATAGTTTTAAGATTTTTATTAACAATAAATAGTCCAGTGGTTTTCCGATATAATATATATGTAAATTTATTGTATTGTAGACATTTTTTTTGGTTCTCGGCTTATCACAGGAATAAAGAATAATTAATCGGCTTACACCGTACCAAGTTCAGAATTGCATTGGTAGTACGAAAAGCTGGTATGTAAGATTATAAATTAATGATATTGTATACGGTTGTGTGGGTTTTTAGTTATATTTGAAAAAAATTTCACTTCAACTTTTGCATAATTTCTTAGACGGCAAAGTACTATATAGCTTTCTACCTCTTGCCTCGTTCGTCCTTCAAGCGTGGTAATAAATCTGGGAGAGGCCTGCACTGTATATTTATAATGATGCAAACTAACGGTTACTTGTCAATAATATTAAAAAAAAAAAAAAAAAATAATACTTGAATAAAAAAAGATTCTGAGTTTCTAATTTATCACGTTCTTTTAATATTAGTTGTAGTACGAAGCCTTTCGCTTGTCTTCGAAAAGTTTAATCGATAATCTATTGATTCAGATGGAGTGCGCCAAATGCCTCCTGAGTTCCTTTTTGTAATTAAAGTTTCCAGAGCGCCAGTTAATATATATAATCATATAAATACATAATTTGCGTGCTTATTTTACGAACTCAATCAAGAAAATTAGCTTTGCACGTCATTTGATTTTTATTAGTTTTTAAAATAGATATTTTTTATAGATATATTTAAACGTAGAAGACGAAGAAAAAAAAATGTGAAAATTTAACAGTAAAGTTAAAGGAAAGATTTATAAAAAGTGTATATAAAAAAATAAAGAAAGAAAACGTTGTATTAAAGAGTAATTTGAAATCTAAAAAAATCAACATAACAAAAATAAAAATTGAAAATTGAAGATAACGAATGAGTTTTTGATATTTTATACACAATCTTCATATAATTGAAGTAATACGTAACAAAGAAAAGAAGTACTCGACTTAAAAATGAATAAATTATAAAAATAGTAGAATAATCATAATAATATACGAATAATATAAATAAGAGTAATAATAAATTATAACATATTGTATATCAGTAGGAACATAAATATTGCGTAATTTTTTATTATAAAAGTAAGGTGAACTAATTATATTGCTTTTATAGATTTCATTTTATAATTTATATGAAGTTTTTAAAGCAAACGATAGAAAATTCTTCTAAAATTCGGTATTTATTATGATTACGGCTTGTTTATAACATATTTATACATATATTAGCTTGTCTATATATATATATATATATATATATATATATATATATATATATGTATATATACATTTGCTTGTAGGAACTATATTACATGAAAACTACATTACTCTCATTCAAGCATAATTTAAGAGTTTAAATGAATACATTAATCAAGAACGTTGTGAGGTACAATGAGGCGATGAATCATTCTGTAAATAAGTGCAATTGGACGAGTACGTTTGCCTCGCTTTCCTTCCGGGAAGTTTGCTAAAATTCAAAGAGCTCGGAGTGAATTACGCGCGGAAAAAAAGATCTATATTCTCGCCGGAGCCTCAGCTCTAGAAAATAATTCGAGAGTTTTGCGAAGATCTGGGTTAAGTGTAAGTCAGCGATTTTCATGAGCGATAAGTGCGCAGATTTGTTGAAATGTTATAATGCTTTGGTAAGAATACGAAGTCCAAATATATTTCCATTCTCGTTTACACATTCACTATAAAAATATTTATATCTAGCTTATTATTGTGTGCCCGCATGGCCATTTCGATATATGGACGGATGTGTGTGCGTGTGTGCCCGTGTGCACGCGTTTGTTTGCAATAGGACCATATTTGCGATAAAAAGCATCTCGTGTACGTGCGGCGCGGTGATACTTTTTCTTACAAATAGATTTTTAACAATGACTTTACCACATTAAATTATCTGGCAACGCCTGTACCGAATTATATGGGGAAACGATAAAAAGATTTTTGTTTAACTTTTTCCTTTCGCTCAAGGTACAAACACGGAATCAGAATTTGTGAGGCAGTTTACTGATAGACGCGTAACGGATCGTACACGATTATTCACCCTTTTTATTTTTATTCTATGCACACAGTCTTCGTTTCGATTGTTGAGAAAGAGTGTGTACATTTATTTCTGCTCACTGTAGTTTTTTTCTCTATAATATAGGACTTTCTTCTCGTTCTGTAATGAAGAGTCGTCTCGAGTGATCGCGGCATCGTCTTTTTATCACAAGTTTTTCTTTTTTTTTTTTTTTTATTTATTTTATTTATTTTATACAGATTAATTTCATCAAAAAATATATTTTCTCTTTTGAAAATTAGTGTAAATATTTACCGTTATTTATTCAATAAAGTTTATATTACTCAATCAAGATTATATTACAGCAGATATTTTAAACAAAAGTGTTTGTCTGTAATTTTATAAAGATTTATATGCTCAAAGAACGATATTTATCAAGGTTATTGAATTAAAGAAGATTTATTTGAAAAATATATTAAAATTAAGCAATCAATTAATAATTTTTATATTTTGTGATATTTGCGATTAAAATTCCTGCGCCCAAATATATAATAAAATAATCAGCGATCTGCAATCAGTAATAATTATAGTGTACATATTATAATTATTTTCGGTGAAGATTATTAATTCATGCAATAATTCAACTAAAATACTACATAAATAAATGGTTTACTCATTTGTCGCACGTTGTAATGTATATTAGAAATGATTTACATTATTGACGTATGATGGCTCGAAGGCAGATGTATTACGACGGAAAAACAATTAAAGATTGGTCATGTAGGTGGAGTACAGTCAAGGCAAATTTAAATACAAACCAATTTGATACTGAACATCACGATGTATCGGACTTATGGGACGATCCAAAGTCGTTTTTTCATTATCATCGAAAATTTGTGAGAAAGTATCATGACATACCACCATCAAGAACCATGACTAAGCCGAGTGAGTATTTCGTATATATATTTTTTCAAATAAATATAATAATAACTTATTATGTAATATTTCTTTAGATCAATTTTTATTTGTTATTCGATTTTAAATAATAATCCCACAAAATAATCAACTAAAATTGTAAAGATTGATTATGAGGTTTTTACATTATTAAATGATATTGTATCAATACAAATTAAAAGTTTAATTGTATTAAATTGGATTATAAAAATTTTGTAAGAATTTTTTCTTATAAATATTTTTGTTTTCGGTTCATATTGTAATTTTATTAATTTGTCTATTAATTTGCTGCAAACTTTATTTTATTTTTTCATCAAGTACTTTAATGCAATTGTCGATGAATAATAGGTATAATATAAATTGAAAATCAACACAATAATGTAATGAATTATAGTTAGAAATAATCATTTTTTATTTAATTTTATATTTATTAATTCATATTTACAATATTTAACTGAAACTACTAATCGTACTAATTAAATATTAATTAAACAGCTTTAGTTAGTAATCGAAGGAGGGAAATATTATGTAAAATATTTTTATAAAATACTGGCAGCATTACAGTTATAATTTATTCTACAAGACTTAAATATTTTATAATGAAGATATAAATGACAATACAATAAATGACTGATCTTCAATTTAGAAAAAAATTTAAGTTATTAGACTTTATTATCTTTGAATAAATTTCGGATTAGATTACAATGTGTTTATTAATGTAACAAGAAATACAAATGAAAAACGAGATTAGAAAATTCAGTAAGTTAATGTATATGTTAATTAAAGAAAACTTTCCACTCGTGATATAATTAAATAGAAAGATAAGTGTATACTAATTTATAATTAATAATATTATTTTACCGAGAGAATTGTAATTTGTTTTTAGAAATATGCTCGTTATATTTTATTTTATTATTATAATAAATATATTTATTTCAAATAAATATTATTGTAAACGAGTATATTATTACAAATAAATATACTATCATATACGAGTATATTATTATAAATAAATATATTAGATGTTCAACAAATGACAATTATTAATATATCATAGATTTTACGTACAAAACTAAAGTTATAAAAATGTTCATAATTGCGATTTAAAAAGTTTTTTCAAAGTATTTGATATTAAAAATCTTTCTATTTAAATCTTAAAATTTTACGAATCGAATATAAATGAATATTCATTTAGTTTCGTTAGAATTAATTTTTTCAGAAAACGGTTTAATTATTATAAATAAAATAAATTATTTTTTTACTAGTAGCCTTGTCTTTTAAAGAATCATTTTTGTTGTTTTTTGATAGATTTTTTGAGTAGCAGATGTATATTTAATTTTGTAAAGCATTTGACGGCATAATGAAATGAAAAGAGAGAGAGAGAGAGAGAGAGAGAGAGAGAGAGAGACAGGCAGACGGAGACAAAGATAGATAGTCATCAGAGATGGACAGACTAAGGAAATTAACGATGTTTCCAAATAGCAGTCGATTATTAAACACAGTTAGAACAGTCGACAGAGTGTAATAAATTGTTCGAAGATGAACGAAGATATTATTTTTGATTCATGGGAAGTTTCGAACGGCGGTATTCTTTAATGAGTAAATTATAATGCAAAGAAATCTTGACACTGGTCCCCCCCCCCTCCCCCGATCTATCTATCTATCCATCTTCAAAAGGGATACGCAATTGACTCGAATGCAGGTACTCGAAGAAACGGGATCATAGATTTACAAGTCGGCGTATGCATGTAACGAAAGGAAACATATTTCCGTGATTTCGGGTCGCGAATTGCGGTATCATCGCTTTCCCATGAACTCCGCGCCAATGACCTACGAGTGGCAATCGTCTATTCGTCCGCTTCTGCGGAGAGAGTCGCAAGACTTCTCAAGTATCCATTCGATCTGAAAGAGAGGGGCGGGAAAGGGATCGGACTACGCCGTTCTCCCGGACGTGGCGAACATGGCCACGACGAGCCCCTGAAAATGGTTGGCGCATCCTATAGTCGCATCTCTTACGAACTGAAGCGTAGACGCCTCCGCGTCGTTGCTATAGCCGCAGCTTCTCTGCCGTGATTTGTCCTATTTCACGAGTTACGAAAGCTAAGATTATAAATTTGGCGCCTCCGTTTTTATTTCCCCTCTTCGAGGAAACAACGACGAGCTGCGCTAACTATCTGTCCAGGTAGAATATTCATATAATTACAACCGCAGGACTCCCTTACCTTTATTTTCTTCATAAAGCTCCGGAATTGCTTATTGCCATTGTGCACGTTATATGCGAAATTGTCAATTTTACTTATGAGACGCAATAGGATATAAAAACGATATTTATTCCATCGTAATTTTACACCATATGACAAACTAGAATGAATATGTTGTCCTGTGGGCAATCAATCAACTTGGCAGACATGTAATTTGAAGAAAAAAAATTGTTCATATTCTCTTGGTCGGAATTTGATTTTGCTACTTTGCTATTTCATGCCTTAATCATTTGCTGCATTTGACATTCCCGCAATTTATTCAACAATATCAAATACACTCAATAATATTATTGACGAAACTTTGGCGATACGATATAAAAGATGTAGCATTATTATACTATGGAGTTTTTATTTAGTTTAGAGCTTCAAATTAATGCCAATTTATATTATCATTCGTTACGCCCGAACAATAACATTAATACAATTGCGCTCTGTTTCTACAGTGTCAAGAGTATGAAAATCCGATTCACGATAAAGCGCCACTAAACTCAATTGGTTAATGCGTGTGATTGTCTCGTAAAATCAGTGAAAACTTGGTAAAAAATGCGTAAGCTTGGAAAACGATGATGCATTGTTCGTGTTGAGGTATCGAGGATGATGATGACGGGCTTGATTAATACTTTTGCTATTTGACGTACACAGGCTCTTACGCATATTCAATTTTATAATCGACACAGGCAGTTAGCTTTTAGTAAATAGTTTTTCAATTTCAGAAATGGCGAATATCCTACCGTGGTTGATGACTATGTCTCTTCTAAGCTTTCGAGAATATGCAGAGACTGCTGGACCGAATGTTCAAATTTCGCAAGAGTTAGAGGCCCCACCACTACCACAATTATCCGTCTCGTCGGTGGACTTTATTACGGTAAATATAAAATCATAAATAATTGGTTTCTATACCCTGGATTATTGGATTATCCTATACACTCGTTTCATAATAAAACTATTGCAGCTAATGAGCAATTAAGTAATCGCAATTATTATTTATGTGGAACTGCATTTTCTTTTACTAATTAGTTTGCAGCAAATAAATGGCATTCTGATGTGGAAGAGCATAGGTGCAAAGAATACATAATCCAAGATATCACGATGCTATATCTGCGAAATCGAACTCCTAGTCGAAAATTTACTTAAAAGAAATTTCTGTGTGTTTTGAGAGAGTGAGCGTAATTTGCGGGCCGCTCCAATACTTCATTTCATAAAGATATTTTATTTGAATGGACCATTTCTTATTACAACGGAAATTTCTTATATTTATGCATACGATGCAAGTTTATTATCGATATAATAAACTATAAATTATTAAAAATATAAATTTAAAAAATAGGAATGAAAAACTTATAATACTTACAAACTACTTATAATATTAATACCTTATAAAGTTTATAAATATTACTATCAAATAATATTATTTATAAAACATAATCATAAAATTGTGAATAATATATTTATAAGTAACAGTATAATATTTTCAAAAGCTACTAAAAAGGGCAAGAAGCTTTAATTTTGTAATAAATTTATATTTTACTTCAATACAATATTTGTTTTTATAATATTATAGTTACGAATAAGGTAACAAATATTTATCTTATTGAATATCATTTTGATATTGTTGATTGACGATAACAATATTGTACAACATTTCTTTTTCAACAATGCGTTAACAGCTATTGGTTATGTTTTTATTTTTATTTTCTCCAACATACAACGAAAAATATTAACTTAAACTTATATTTATTTTTCAGGCTCGGCAAATTAATTTTTATTAGTTAATTCATTTTTAAAATAATTATAATTGCGACGATTTGTATACAAATTTTAATGTAAGAAGAAAAATGGTGATGCAATAAGGTCTTCATAATTATATAATTTTATTTATATTAATTCAACACTGCTTACTTTTGTATATAGCATTTTTCTTGTACTTTTCTTCTTTTCATTTTTTTTCTTTCTTTTTTCAACATTCCCTTTTGCCCAATTCAATTTCGTTTAAACAATTGTATTTTCATGTCCAATGTCTTTTAGTTATCAATTTATGATTTTAACTTGTTTAAATTTTTCTTTTCTGTAAATTAATCAATACTAATTTTCCATAAAAATATAAAAATTAAAAAGTAATAAGGATGGGCGTATTATGGAAACTGTACATTAAAAATTCAATATCACACACATGTAATATATAGTACATAATATTTTATCGGAAAATGGATCATGTTGATCAATAACATATATTTGTCTATTGGATTAATTAATATAATTATTGTCGCCATAGCCTATATCGATGAATGTTTTGTTATTATCAAATACTATGCTCCCTGTAATTAATGTCCTTTTTTTTCTTATAATTGAGTAATATGAAAGTATAAAAAAAATTGTTTGCTACTATTAATATCATTATTATTTTGTAATCCTCTAGGCTTACTTCCAGATATTATATTATTACATTTGGCAATTTATTTATAATAATAAAATCGGAAATAATGGAAATCAAATTTATATGTTAAATTTTATATATTATATTCCATCATCAAATACTAGAAAAAGAAATAACGACTCAAGTAATAGAATATATTCATTTTGTGTGATTTCAAATATTTTCTAATAAATATATTATCCATATATTCGTACAAGTTAATTTAATATTTATATAAATTATAGACCAGAATACTAAAATGTAATAATGAAATACAAAATATTGTATAATATGAATGTTTCAAATACTACTGCATACAAATGATCAGATAAACAACCTTTTTTCTTACATAGAACCATACATTATGTGTAAATAGTTTTTTTATGCTCCTGTTATCACACTATTTTCCATGATTTATATGAATTATCATAAACGAATGAGTTATTAAAAAACTTTCTATTGGTCTATATTATTATTATTTTTCGTTTTAATTTTATTAGCTTTGTTGAAATAATAAAAAATTGACGTTTCCAGTTAATATATAATAAAATAAATAAACAATCAATAGATAAAATATATAATAAATTATTACTGTATTTCGTGTATAATTTTAAAATGATTAATAAAATTAATTTTATTTAACATATGAAATAATGAGACCTGAACAACATAGAGTTTAAATTTAATTAAGACAGACAGTTCAATGATTGTATAATATGTACTGAATTTAAAAAATGGATTTATTTATTTTAGAAAATATGAAGTGAAATTATTATTTTGAATTCCCATAAATTTTTAAAAATATTTATGATAAAAAATTGTTCAGAAAATTTATCAATAGTTCAATATTATTTAAAATATATAATTCTAATTATGCATGTGCTTCGTAAGGATATATATATATATGTCTATATATATATATATATATATATATATATATATATTGCTAATATGTTCTAAAGCCATCAACGTCTTCTTTTGATGATCCGGCTTTTGGACAAGAAGAACCGCCATTGAATATGAATTGCGATCATGTTAGCAATCATAATTACGAAAATTCAGTTGGTCAGACAATTACAGGGAAACCACATGGATTTCAAATAGATCCAAATTTATTGTCAACTCAAAATAACCAGTTAGGAAATAAAAAAAATGAACGAAACATTCATGTTTTTAACAACGGTGTAAATCTAAATAATATTTTACAATCGTCTAAGGTTAATTATGGAAATCACGCGAATGAGAGCGAACGATTTTATAATCCAGAACACATATTTAAACCTTCAAAAGTATCTGATTTTAAAGATGAATACGCTGGGCCAGCTATTCAATTGGTAAGTTATACATTATCATAAAATACATTATTATACATTTATTCATTATTTAAATCGTATCGATATTATTGTTTATTTGATGACATTATTATTTCAATTATAGGCGTTTTCGTGGAAAACTATAGATTATGAATTTGACAATGAAAATGATAGAAACAGTTTAATATATGGTGGAACCTTCATTCCTGAAAATAATCTACCACTTGGGTTAGAAGTTTGGAAAGAAAAAATTTTTATTAGTCTACCCAGATGGAAAAAAGGTATTCCTGCGACACTAACAACTATTTCTAAAAAATCAATTGACAAGAGTCCTAAATTGAGGCCATATCCAAGTTGGAGATGGCATCATTTGGGTATGATTTTAATGAATTATAATTTAAACAAATTATTTAGCGTACAAATTAATTTTAAAAATATTCATTTTCACATAGGCGATTGTCAAGGATTAACGTCTGTATTTAGAATGCAAATTGATGAATGCGATCGTTTATGGGTATTGGATTCTGGAAAAATCGACATTACAACCGATCCAAAACAAATTTGTCCACCAACAATTTATGTTTTCGATTTATATACCGATGAATTAATTAAAACATTTCAATTGCCACAAGATCAAATTAAAGAAGATTCATTATATTCGAATATAGTTGTAGATGTGAGAAACAATCAATGTGATCGGGCCATTGCATATGCAGCTGATGTGTGGCGTTTTGGTCTTATAGTTTATAATTTATTCAATGATACATCTTTTAGAATTCAGCATCACTTCTTTTTTCCAGATCCTTTATCTTCTAGATATAATCTTCATGGGCTTGAATTTCAATGGACAGATGGACTTTTCGGTATAGCCTTAACACCCGTTGACGTTAATGACGAAAAGACAATGTTTTTTCATCCAATGTCGAGTTTCCGAGAATTTGCTGTGCCAGTTTCAGCGATAAATGAGAAAAGAAATGCGGATAAAAACTTTGATAAATTTGTTCCAGTTGGAAAACCAAGAGCCAAAGATTATGGACACTCATCTGGTTCAGCGATCGATAGAAATGGAATAATGTTTTTTAACATGGTAACGAGAGATTCAGTATGGTGTTGGGATACTAGAAAGGAATATATTCCACAAAATTTAGGAGTTATTGGATCAAGCAATATTTCATTAGTTTTTCCTAATGATATTAGAATGGATCACGAAGAAGATCAAAGTGTATGGATTTTATCAAATAAGCTTCCTATGTATCTGTATGGTTATATGAATGAAAATGAAATTAATTTTAGAATTTTAAAAGCTAATATTAAGGAAGCAATTAGAGATACTGTTTGTGATCCCAGTTATATTGTGCCAGAGTATATACCTGGATATGATGTGACTTGCTAAAATCGTCTCATTACTAAAATATGTAAAATATTAATGTGTATTAAAAAGTTGTAATTAATATAATTTTAAATTTATACATTTTAAAAATATGGGAATGACTGGCAGTAGTTTATAAAACAATTAATAATGTTTAAAAAATGATGAATATGACTTTATGTATGGTACGATCCTTCAGAAAATCATCTGCATATTTTTTTTTATAATCATATAGTTTTTACTTAGTTAGTCATACCTAGTATATTACTTATACAGAAAGTGAATAATTGAGCAATCGTTTAATTACTTATAAATATATATTATATTAAGATAGTTAATTAAAGAAATATTTAATATATATTTATAAATAAATGCTTCAAATAAATAACGACAAATAAATAATTAATGATTAACTTGTTGCCATTTAATGTAGGCACTGAAATATGCGATTTATGAAATATTCTTTTACGAAAAAGTTTTTATTATCTTTTTAAAAAGTGCTTTTTCCCTTATTAACATTTTTATTTAATCAAAACATCTTCATTAATTAATTTTTTTTTATACTTCAATACTTCTGTATTGATATTGAATTATATCGTTTAAAAACACCTGTGAGATATCATTTATAATTGTCATAACCTTTTTTTTTATATTTATAATTGCACATTTATTTAATATACTAATTTTATTTGGATGATAAATTAGATTTTATCATATAAAATTCAACATCACAATTCGCATTATTGATTTTCCATAATATTTGAATTATTTCAATATTCAAGATTGTATTATTTAATTTCAAAATTTAAAAAAGTAATATTTTTGTAAAAAATAATCATTAAAATATATTTGTGTATCAGTGAAACATCAATTAACTCTATTTTATAATTCTTAACCAATAATGTTGATATTTTCTATCCTGTTTTTATGAATTAAATTACCATTAAATAATTAAATAGTTAAATTGTTCGGTCCATTAAAATTTTATAAATTAAATTAATTCATTGAATTAAATTATTAAAATTGATTTTTGCTAAAATTTATTTTTAATAATTTGATTATTATACGTTAATTTTAAGTTACAATATATCCATTATATCGACATATATTTTTATTTCAAAAATATTCTGAATTAGTCAATAAAAGTTTATTATGTTTTACTTTGATCAAATTGACTTGTTTTTAAATTCATTAATATGTTATTCAAATTTATATTGAAATCATTAAATTATGAATCTCATGATTTATAGTTAAATAAGAGAGAGTTATTCTATATTATCATATATATGATCTATTATATTATATATAATAATATAATTATATATAATAATATATATAATATATTACTATATATTATCATATAGCATAGATAATTAAGTTTCGACGATGTAAACTGTGGCATAATATTTTATATAATATTTCATATTTTGTGTTACTACATTAAGCAATATTATATATTCAGCAAATTAGCAACGAATAAAAATGCAACATTTTTATTAGCAAATCATTGTGTTGCATATATTTGAAAACATTAATTTTTTTTAGCATTTTAATGTGTAGCCTCAGATACATTAGTTATTATAATATCACAAGTTCAAATATTCAATTCAATTTATTTAATTTGCATCCTAATGAGATTCTCTATCACATCTTTATTAAATGTAAAAGAAACATTCAGTCATCTCAGTATAATCATTAATTTAAAAAAATTTTGTAACATCTTAATTTTACTAATAATGTGACTGATGATCTGTGGTCAATAATTATTTAGAAATAATTATTTAATTTTAATCTTTTCAGTTTTAGTTATCTTACTTTTAATGATAAAATTTGTTTTATTTCAGTAAAATCTGTCTCTTATCAAACATATATTATAATTCTTTTAAATTATTTCTTATTAAATTAGTAAATTTTTAAGTCAAAGATGATAATTTTATATTACTTTGCAAATGAGTAATCTTTATTTCATTATTTTAAATTATTAAGTATTTTTTATAAATATATTGGAATATTTGGAAGATTTATTCATATATTTTTATTAAGAATTCTTTTTTAGTTCTTAATACAGTATAAATTGTTTTTAAATTTTATTATTTTTCTTTTTAATTTGTTATTAATATTACGAATAAATACAATACTTGTTAGTAGCTTGGATTTTTTTCTTAATGTAATCTCCATTTTGAAAATTATTTTTTGTCACTAAAATATTCTAGTATTCTAAATATTTTAAAATTTGAAAACTTGTAATTTTCAAATTTATAATTTTCTGTATATTATTTTTTATTTCATCAAGTAGTTCGATCTTAAAATTTGTTTGGACATTATTGAATGAAAACTGACATCTGTCTATTTGATTTCAACGTTCATGGAATTTGAACGGTTTGTAATACAATATAGAACTCAGATATTAATATTCAATAAATTACAAGAAGATAATAAAAATTATAAGAATATCAGTTGCGTGTGTTTTATTACTAGTTTTCTGCATCAAAATAAATAGTTCAGTTGGAAATATACAACTAATAGATTTTACTTTTATTGACATTTAAAAAGATTTTTTTGTTTATCGTATGATAAATTTTAAAATCATTATGAAACATTACTAGATTGTTTCAAATAATTAATATAATGGATTATTACATAATTTTGATTTCTATATGGTAACTTATAGTATTCTATCAATTAAAAAAGAATTTAGGAATTGAGTCAATAATGATTATTTAAGGGCTAATTGACACTACAATGTGTATTTAATTCAAAAAGCTTGATATATTTATTTATTTTAAGAAACAGATAGAATTTTTCCATTATTAAAATGTTTAAAATACACTTTTTATCCTATAACATTTAACATATTTTAATATACAATAAATTATTGTAATATATTCTCACTTTAAACGTACGAATACATTAATTAATTACAAATACTTATAAATGTAAACAATTCGCTTTAAATAGTAATTTCATATATATATATATATATATATATTAAAATTAAATTAAAAATTTGCTTTTAATTGTAATAAGATATATTTAAACAATTGAATACTATTTTTCTTTATCTTTATGATTTAGCAATTACATTTAAAAAATTTTGGAATTATTTGCTGAAATTTGTTTTGCAATTTGCATCTATGAAGTTTTAAACTTAGGAACACTTCCTGATGTAAGATTTAAAATCCATGATTGACAATTTATATTTTCTGAGACATTTAAAATATATTTATTATATGAATACCTCAATAAATATAATTATTCTGTAAATTTATGGTGGTCAATCGATAATTTTTTTTAAATATTCGAAGATGGGCATCTGAGAAAAGCAACGAATTTGATTTATTTTCTACAATCGAAGTATGATTAATTAATTAGAAGAAAAATATTTGAATAAATATTTTTCATTTTGTTTAATAAAAATTATTTGTATTATGACAATAATACAGCATTTCAAATTCTTGATATATAGAATTTCTTTTTCCATATGATTCATATTCCATAATTCATTTACTGTTGTGTAAACGTATATAAGGTATTGAAATTTGGAATATGAAGAAACGTTTGTGGCGACGAAAGTACGAGATACAATCTGTATTTTTTTGTACATTTCATTCTCTGAGAAAATTAATAATATTAAAGTGATATTTTGTAAATAGTGATATTCTAAAATGGGTATAATTATTTTATATATAATGAATGTTTACTCTTAATTCTAATTACTCTAGTCGTTTAATTTTAAGTTTATGTTGTGTGAGGTTAAGTATTTCATACCATGCTGTTAATTTTTAAATATTTACTTCTTAACAAATCTGTTTTACGTTAAGTGATCTTAAATAATTAGTACATAATAGTATAGAAATTCAAGTTGAAAGATTGTATTAATAGTAGTAGAGAGAATATTTTTATTATATTTCGTAAATTAAAATACTTTTTTATTTGATAAAATAATTTAAGCACGCGTACATAGATATGTAACGAAACTTATCTCAATGCTAAATGAGGCGTAATAAACAAATTATTTGTATTGCAGGAAATATTTCTCATATACGTTGCAATCGAATCTGTCCAAATTGTATATAATTTATTTCTAAATAATAATATACAATTGAGCTATTTTCCATTAAAAGTAAGTAATTTTGTTATAAATTAAAAAAACGTTTTAAACTACTTTCCTATATTATATTATTATCTTAATTTCATATTGTAAGCTCTAATTTTTAATTTAAAAATTCTTTAATTGCATGATTTGAATATTAAGTATTTAAAAAATGTTGTGGATTCATTATCGTTATTACAAAATAAGTATATTTATTGAGGTTTTATATAAGTACATACCAATTTGTATAATTATGATGGAATTTATTAGAATTTTATTTTATATTTTAAATATATTTTAAATATTTTAAATATATTTTGACAAATTTTTATTTTACAGAAAACATATATTTTAATTTTTTCGTAATATAATTTATTTTTTCTAGGTTTACTATTAGACAAAAATTTTCTTCCCTTGTTTAAATGTCTGTTGAGAAGATGAATTCAATTTTACCAAAGAAGTATAAAAATAATGTGAAGGTAAAAGATAAAGAACAAAAAAATAGTAAATCAAAAAAAAGAAAGCTATCTAATCTTAAGCAAAATCAATTAGGAAAGCGAAATTCAAAAATAACAAAACAAGAAATTATAAATTATATTACAATACTATTGAAACTGACAGAAAATGATGATGAAAAAACAAAAAGTCTTTTCGACGCAGAAAAACCAATTTTATTAATGATTAATTGCGTTAGAATTCCTAAAGTACCATTGCATCAAATGCGAATGTAAGTATTTTTTTTATTTTTTATTTTTTTATTTGTAATTGTTTACTTTTAATAATTTTAATTATACAACATGATTATTCACTAATGTTACCAATGGATCCTTATGAAAAATTCTGATTATTAAGTTTTATGATACATTAGTTTGCTAGAATTAGTTTATATTTTTATAGATATTGTTGCTTATAAATTTATTATTTTAGAGCTCTTCCACATTCGTTAGTTTCTTCTAATGATGATGTCGCTTTGTTTGTAAAAGATCTAAAAAAAGGCAGAAGAATAGATTATGAAAATACTGTATATCATTTTGAAAATATATTACAGCAACATGGTTGCACACAAATAAAAACTGTTATTCCTATGAATCAGGTTAAAACTGAGTATAGACAATTTGAAATGAGACGAAGACTTTTAAATTCATATGACTATTTTCTTGTTGATGGTAGAATTTCTGGGCATATGGCTCATTTATTAGGTAAAACATTTAGAGAAAAAAGAAAACTACCAACTTCTATTCATATGGATAAAAAAGATTTAAAAACAGAAATTGATGTTGCACTTAAAAAAACAAGTTTGCAAATACATGGCAATGGTAATTGTTCTATTACTAAAATTGGTAATGGTTCAATGGATGTAGACAAAATTGCTGATAATATAATAGCAGTAATAAAGCATTTGAAGAAAAATTTCCCTGGAGGTTGGGAAAATATTCGCTCTTTAAGAATAAAAACTCCACTAAGCATCTCAATACCTATTTATATTACTTTAAGTAAGTATTCTTAATTGTGACATATATATATATAGTAATTTTTAAATTTGTTTACTCTCAAGTAATTTCTATATTATCTTTTTAATTAGAAAACAAAAATGATATTGAAATTCCAACAATACTTCCGAAACGTCCAAAAGCCTATAAAACAGTTGAAGGAGAATTGTCTACTTATAATTCTAATGTTACAGTTATTGTATCACCTGATGGCACAGTTAATATTAAAAAAGAATGATGCCAATGTTGAATGTAAAAATGAGATTGAGCCAATTGGAAATAAAATTAATAGTTAAGATATTGTAATTTAAAATTGTAAATAGTAATATTACATTAAATCTAAGTACTTATTTTATTTAATAAAAGTCTTGTTCTTCATTAAAACTGTAAATAATGTTTTGTTTTTTGCAACTAGTTAAATATATAAATATATTTAAATAAACATTTTATTTTTTATAAACATATACAATTTAATATATTTTAATGTATTTATATTAATATATAATAAGAAAAAGCGACCCTTATAATGTAAAAATTAATCTGATTACTTAAATGACAAATTAATATTTTAATATCTAAAATACTATTTACACAATTTAATATAAAATTGTTTGATCTTTTTTTGATATACTTTGATAATTGTTAGTTGGAGTTATTGAAACAGTATTTCCATTTGTATATTGGGTTTTATGTCTTAAATCATTAGTAATATTTATAGGTGAAAATAGTACTGCTTCTATTTCTTGAAAATTTTCTAATCTTTGTACATCTCTGTTTGTTCTAATTTTTGTGTTTGGCAGTTTTCGAAGTCTAACTATTTGCGAAGGATTAATTTCTAGTTCATCACAGCACATGTTGATTAATTTTTGGTATGTTAAATCGTTTCGCTTAACATCAACTTCTATAAAATCAGAATCATCTGTATTTGCTATTCGTAATTTCAGCACTATTTCTATAAAATAAATATAATATTAGAACTTATTTTTATATGTATACTAATAAAAAGAAATAAAAAATACCTTGGCATATATTATCAATATTTTGTTGAAGGAATTCTACATTTGTTTTACAATTTAATGAAGTATTCTTAACAAAATTAGGAATAAAATCAGGATCTTGATTAATAGGTGATTTAGGTGAGTCAGGTACATCGTCCAATAATTTTAAAATATAAGGATTTGTAGAAAGTGATCTTGGAGTTTCACCGTACTCAGATTTTATATTTTTATCTGCCCCATTTTTTAACAAAAGAGCTACAGCGTCTATATAATTCTTTTTACAGGCCCAATGAAGTGGTGTCCTAGGACAAAGCAAAATGAATTTTTAATTTATCATAACATATGGAGAATTATCAATGAGTTTTACTGTAAATATTCCTCACCATCCGTTAATTGCATGTCTAGTATTTATGTCAATTCCAATATTTAATAGTTTTTCTATTCCATTAGTATCACCCATGCAAGCAACATATCTCAATTGTTCTTCGAATATTTTTTTTCCATCCATATTTTAGTATCAAATAAAATTTGTAATTGTAATAATCTATGTGTAATTGAATATTGTTTTCAATTCTAGTTAAATCGATAATTTGAAAGGATGTGCATTTTGTAATTTATATTATTTATAAAATGCTTATTTTATGAATAAAAATTAATCCATGACAAGAAATTGTTTATTTATACGTATGATTTTGGGATTGACAATTCTTGTAAAGTACATAAATATATTTTTTGTGAATCGTGCGCTTAGACTTGGGGAGTGAGTTGTGGACTGGATTTGAGGGAAATTCCGAGTATTAATCAGGACTACCAATACAGTAACAGCAGACTGGATATATTATAATTCATAAGAGTTCAATTTTTCAAAATATGTTTATAAAAATAAGTGTTTTGCGAATGTAAAAGCTTAATTTTATTTATGCAAATAAATTATAATTTAAATGTTCATGAACAATGCTTAAGATTAAAAATCTAATAAACGTGTTTGAATTGGGTTCCACTCTGTTGCACCAAAATTTCACTCGTATAGTTTCACAGGGCGCAAGTTGTTTCTCAATTCTTTCTAAAATTTAATATTTTTAAAACTTATAAAAAAAATTAGTTTTGTCGCTATTGATTTTTTTTTACACTTAATTAGTATAAATGTAGAATTTAAATTAAAAATTTTACAAAATTGTCCTTAAATAATGTCCTATATTTACTATATAATATTATAATATATAATATTATTTCCTATATAATATTTGCGAATGTTTTGTGATTAAAAGGAGATCTTATTCTTTAATGGAAAAGGAATTATTTGTGTATTAATTTCTCAATATCATTGAAAAGTACATCACAATTATATTTTTCTATAAGAAAGTAATGTTATATAACCTAAAATATTATTTATTTTTGTGTTGTAAAGAAATGTAATATAACCACAAATATATATTTTTGTTATTTAATGGGACTCAAATTTTTTAAATACGTATTTACAAGCGCAACTAATTTATTCTTTTATAATATTGAAATTTTATTAATTTTCAATAATTTCCAATAAATCCCAATTATTAATAATTCTAATATAATTAAACATTATATTTTACAAATAATATGAGGATTAAATCATTGATAAAATTGTCAACGCCTTTAAGATGTGTTTTTCTATCACGAAAATACACTGTAGCTGTAAACTTACATTATGGCAATAATCAATTCAATGGTTAGTATTGTTTTTACATTATTTAAAAAATTAAATCTACTTGTTTACACGTATTATATTTTAGAAGTAATTGAAACATTGGAAAATAAAGAGCATAATAACAAATTAATAAGGGAATTAAGAGTCAATGATATTAATGTTGATCTTCTTAAAATCAATAATAAAATTGATTATAATTATACTATAAAATGTTTAAAAATGCTGCAGATATATTATAAAGAAAATGGAATACCATTATCAAATTTAAGAGAAGATCAAAATTTTATGAAAATACTTTCGATTGTCAACAAACAAGTCATGCATTTAGATTCAGGTCAAGTTATAAATTTAATTAAAATGTTTCATTTGATGGAGGTTCCTAGTTCATCAATTATTATGCAATCTCTTATACAGTCGATTAGACTTTCTATAAATTTTTTAAATTTGCATGAAGTATATATTTTAACAAGATTAATGAATAAAATGGAACCAACTCATTTGAGTCATGCAGTTAGATTGGCTTTAATAGAAATGTTCAAAGTTCAAGTGCATTTACAACTTAATACAGAGAGAATTCAAGAATTAAAATCAGCATTAATATATGCAACAACTTATGTAAATGACGAGTCAGTACTAGAATTCATAATCGAAGCTATAGAAAGTAATAAATCGCCAATTGACCTTAATAGCTCAGTAATTTTGTTATTAAGATTATTAGATTTAAAAATTCTACCAAATAATTTTTCCAAAATTTTTAACAGAGTGAGCACCGTTATTACGGATAAGATAATTTTACTCGACAATTATGGAGTCATGACAATTTTTAATAATTTATGTATACAAATATTAAAAGGGTATTTAAAAGATATTTCATGACATTTATTAATAATGATAAATACAATATTTAATGATAAAATATTATTTTAGGAACAATGAAAGTTATAATTCTCGGTTGATAGATGCAATTGTCAATGTGAGTGTAGTTCATAACTATGGATTACAGAAATGGTTAACAATATTAAATTTGTTAAATAGAATCAGACATGTAAATATACAATTATTAGAGCATTTATTAAATTACTTTTATGAAAATCCATCAGTTTTTGCAAAATTTCATCCAACGAGTTGTTCGCTCATCATGTCAGGCCTAGCTCATGCCAATTATAAACCATTACATTGGAATGAACTTCAAAATCTTTTAGTTAATTATGTATGGGTACCTGATAACACATCGTTGTATTCTTTTGTAATTGATTTAGCAGCACTAGATTATTATAATTCAAACATATTACAAAAAGTTTTTACCGATTGTAGTACAACAAAAGTTTTATCCGGAAATTCTTGTAGGCTTTTATACAGATTATATCATAGCGTTAAAGCATTATGTCCAATATATTCTGGACCATGGTTTTCAAATGAGACAATTCATTTTCTTAATAACTGGAAAAATCAAAAAAGTCATCAATTGCTCAAGTCTACGCATTTAAATTTACCAATACTTCCTGCATTGGAGGAATTTTTAGGCGGCTCTGTTTATGTGAGAAATAATATAATAATAAATGAATTAGAAGAACCTATTGGTAATTTTTTTTTTTAATTCTTAATCGAATCGAACAAAATAAGAGTTTAAATTTTATGAAATTATGTTATAGATCATTTAATACTTTTACAAGATGAACATCCAATTGATATGGAATCTATATTAGTAAATGACGCATCAAAATCTTTTTATAACTTAGAAGATTTTGTTATTCCTTCTAATAGTAAAAGGTGTGTTTTGATTTAAATAAAATTATATTAAAATATAAAATATATAATTATGATTTTATCCATGTATTAAAATCAGAAAATATATTTATAAAAAATCTTGTGTATTATTTACAGGGTCGCAATTGTATTGATAAAATCTAAAACTCAATCAAGAAATTTGTTGACATTACAACCATTAGATTTATTACGAATTAAAATTTTAGAAGCAATGTCATTTAAAGTGATACCCATATTTGAAAATATATGGACAAATATGTCTGATTATAACAGAGTTTTGTATCTACAATCTTTGATCAAAATACAAAAAAAGGAAATTTTGAGATAAGTAAATATAAAGAAGATATGTATTTGTTTTATATTATTTTGTTCTAAAGGAATTTGCAATCTGGATAGTCTATTACGTTTGTCAGTCAAACCAATTAAAATACTTTTGCGGTTTTAAAATTTATCCATTAAAATAAAATTGTAATTATAATTATAAGATATTCTATATATAATAAAAATAAAAACTTATAAGAACTTTTTAATTAAAAATTGAAAATGTACAATCATAGAATAGTTAATTATACAATAATTACAATAGTAAATAAAATAGTAATAAAATTATAGTATACATCATTGTAGAAAAATAATAATTTTTTAATACTAAGATATAAGGTTTTTAATAAAAAGTACAAATTTTATATATTTTGTAGGATTATATAAAAATTTATTATTTATAAAAAGTATAAAAATATTTTAAACATATATACAATCATACATTACTAAAATATCTACATTCGAGACTTATTTATAAAAATACACACATTTAGAGTTTAGATGCCACTATTATACAGCGTAGTGTCTCTCTTCCCTCTTACTTCCCCGCCCGTTCGCCTTAAATTATCAGTATTAATCGCGACCTCGACGTCGATTCCCCTCTTATCGCGGATCGGATTTGTTGGCACAATTAGAGTAAAACATTAATTTTATCACCCGAGCATGGATAAAGAGCCAAGAATTTTACATAAAAAGATTTCTTAATTATTTATTTTGTAAAATTGTGTAGTTTTATGGTTTTATATTTTTTCATAACTCAAGGAGCTCTTGGCAAAACATCGATCATAGGATTTTCGTTGATGTCTGAATTGCTCTCTGCTGCGTCAACAAATGCCGTCGATAGATCACCGGCGAGTTTGCTTACGCTTTCAGATGATACATCGTACATAAATATCTCCTTCTCAGTCTCGGACTTATCGGTCGGTCTAGGCAAAAAAATTTATAATTATCGGTACATATTAGCAATTTTGAATAAAAGTTTATTAATTATAATTATGGATGCAGATATTCTATATAGGCTTATTGATATTATGTATATTCACAAGTAAATGAATAATTAATTTAAATATACATTTTTAGTAGGACACGCGCAATAAATGTGTCTATTTTATGAATTTTAAAAATATTATTACACGTATATTGGTAATTCATTAGCTCGTGCGAGCAGTATTGCGCATAACAGATATCTTAAATATCTTAAAAGGTTTATTTGTAATATATCATTGTTTGCAAAGAGATCGAGTTTTATAAAATCGAAATGCTTTAAGAGATATGAAAAATTTACATTTGTAGGTCATTGTATATATTCATTATATGTTTTAATATATAATTTTATTTTATCCGTTAGTATGTCTAAACAGATTTTTATAATTATTGCTTCCACTTGTATTTTCTTATTTTTTTAAATATGAACGTTAAAGAACATACTGTTTGTTCCCAGCAAATCTAAATGCAATTAATTTTAAAGTAAATGAATAATGAAAATTTATATACTATTAATGTTATATATATTTCGAAACTTTTGTCATTAATTATTTGAATTTAAGAAATTTATAGAAAAAAATTAATTGTAACTTTGATGTGCATTCGTAAAGTACGCACTGTATTTAATTAATTAAATATTAATTGTTAGTAGATGTTGAAAAATAATGTACTAAATACTGGATCTATGTGATATAACAATGAAACGTAATTTTGTAAATAAATTTTTTACTAAATTGCGAAGCAATTTTAATAATAATTATGTGAGAATAATTTTGTTGGCGAAATTAAGAAAATTGTAATTTGCAACCGAATGCACGAACATAACATTTTTCACAAGACTTATTATATGGATACTGTTATTGGTTAATTTCGACTGCTTTCTTTTCTAAATTAAGCTGAGAACCCTTTGTTTTGCCAGCATCAGTTAGTGAAAATTAAATTCGAGATATAAGATTATCTGAGTAATCGCGAATGATTAATCTTTTAAGTATATGTGTAACCGCCAAGACATTTCATTCAGTAGTCTCGCGTGAATGTTTCAAATTCTCAAAGTGATTGTATGCTTCAAGCACCTTATAACTAGAACAGGAGTTTTAGCGCTAATTGGAAATAAAAATTCTCACTATATAGAGTTACTGAAAAATAATGTAGCAATTTGTTATAATTGTTTTATATTAAATGTAAGCAAACAGAAAAATTGTAGACCAAAACATAAAAACTAAAAGCTACAATACCTAATTTGGATTCTTATCTTTTTCTAATTGTTTAGCAGCGATATCGATGACACTATTAAGAACGAATGAAAAGAATTAAAAAATATGCTGCTAATGTATTTATAATTAATAATCATAATTCACAATTTAATGATGGTATTTAATATATTGCTTAGCCTGTAATTTTATCGTGTATATTTAATATTTGTATTTTTCATTTTAAAAATATATGCCTATTTTTGGATTTTTACACACATATAATTATAAAATATCGATAATTTTAATGTCCCAACATATATATATATATATATATATATATATATATATATATAAATTAGTGAAAGGGAAACTAGTTTTATAATTAAGAATAATTTTAATAAATATAGGTTGATAATAGAATATCTGCATTTTGAGGCTGTAATGTAAATAAAATACCAATATAATTGATTATGTCTTGCTGGCATGTAATATTATAAATAATTGTATAAATAACCAATAATATATTAAACGTTTAATAAGATTGTAACACATAAACATAAACGTCGGAACGTCAATTATTTTTTATTTAAAAGAATATTTGTAGATCTAGAATTAAAGTTTAGTGTTTAAGATAAGTGAGTGGAGAAGTAAAAAAAAAAAAAAAAAAACTAAAGGAATAAAAATATTAAAATGAATTATAATTTAATTGTTATAAATAAATACCATGCAAGTAGTATTTGTTGACACAAGCCACAAGCAATAAGCGATACGATGGAGGCTAAATGATAAATGACTTACGTTGTGACAAGAAGTACAACCGACTGTCTCTGAGGCTCTGTCTGCCTTTCCTGATCGAGCCATCGCTTGTAATTTTCGGCGGACGGCTTCTTCACAAGTAGCTTAAGAGAGTCCCCGGTGAGAAAGCGGATTGCTTGTACATCGTTCGCGACCTTCCGATTTTGTCGTGTTAATTGCTCTGTCTCTGGCTGAAAGTTGTAGTCGACAGGTGCGAGCACCACCACCGACGTTATCTTTTTGCCAGTCAATTCTGGCACACTGGGGATCGGAAATGAGGTGCCACTCACTTTGAGCGGAAGGTAGCGATTATATTGGCCGCTGCTGTCATCGGGCTCGCGTTCTCCCACGGCTACGGGACTCAGTCGTGTTGCGTTACTGCTAATGTGTTTATCGGCGATTGTCTGACCTTGCGCTGTGTTGGGATCAAAGCGAACTACTTTCATCTCGACACCTCCCGGTCGCAATGTGATCTCTTCCGTACGGACCTGATTTTCGCTGCGGAGGACCATATTTTTACCAATGCTCGAGGAAGACGCCGTAATCTGGACTTCCGTAGCATCTTGCTGTTGGTCCACGATTTTAGGCCGTTTAGAGATTTGGGGAATGGGTTCGCTGGCCGCAGTTGCTGCGGCACCTCCTGCTCCGTAGAAATTCGCTAAAGCTTCAGGCGGAAGATCGCCGATATTGATGCCGCCTACTTTATCGTAATCGAGAATTTGAATGTCGGCGTTGCCGAGGATACCTGAACTCAACAGTTGTTCTCTTATGTCGTCAGGAACTTCGTCGGGGAGGTTTGCGATGTTTTCTTTGATTTTCGCCTCCTTCTTTGGCGACAAAGTTGTTGTTGTCAATGGGGTTGTAATGGACTGTGTTGTTGAAACAATTCTTGATTTTGGCGTTGATGAATAATGAATGCTGCTCGAGGTGGGGACTGTATATTTTTTTGAATCGTCCACTGTTTTTGTTGTCGGAATAGCAAAAATTTTGTCATTATTATTGAGGATTTTACTTTGGAACGTTGGTCTTTCTAAAATTGGCGATTGTGTCAATGATTCTTGGATTATTTGCTGTTGAGGTCTTCGAAAATTTTGAGAAAAGAACGTTTGTTGATTTTGATATTGTGATTGCGGCTGCTGTTCTTGCTGTTGTTTCACAATATCATCATTATGTTTTTTATTTTGCTCAAAAGGTATTTGTTGTTGCTGATGCGATTGTTGCGCTAAATTATATTGTTGTAACGATCCAGCTACTCGATTATTATTAGTTGATTTTACTGAAGAAGTTTGTGGAGTTTCGGTATATTGGGGGTTAGGTGGAAATGGACCCGGATGTAGAGGATTTTCTCTAATTGCATAATGTTGTTCTAGTTTAGGAATGGCTTTAAGAATTTCTCCACCAAGTTGCTTTTGCGGTAGATTTGCATAGCTTTGCTGAGATTGTTGAATCCGTCCAAAATTATATTGTTGCTCTTGTTGCTGTTGCTGTTGCTGTTGCTGTTGCTGTTGTACATTCAATTGCTGATCTTGCTGCTGTTGTATGTGCAATTTTTGTTGCTCAAGTTTGCGGCGCTGCTCTAAAATTCTATATTCTTGTTGCTTTTGTTGCTCTTGTTGCTGCTTCTGTTGTCTCTGTTGTTCCAGCTGTCTTTGAAGTTCTAGCTGTCTCTGTTGTTCAAGGTGCCTTTGCTGTTCTTGCTGCTTTTTCTGCTCATGTTGTCTCTGATCTAATACCCTTTGTTGTTCTACGTATCGTTGTTTTTCTTGTTCTCTTTGTTGTTTGTAACGAAGTTGCGGGTCAAAATGAAAGTTGCTAGGTGGCTGGTTTGGCGGAAGCTGTTGTTGAAAGTTTTGTAATTGAGTATTTTGATGTGCAACAGGAATTAATTGTGGTGGCCCAGGTTGTTGTTGATGGTTAGCATTCAAATGGTGAGGCGATACAAAAGAGTTAAAAGGTAATCGTTGTTGAACTTCCGGTAATCCTTGAATCGTTATAGATGGTCTTTGTTGTTGTGGTCTTTGATTGGAATGAATTTGCTGGTACTGATTTCTAATATGTGGAGGTACGGATTGATGGAATTGCGGTTGCAAAGAAAAATTTGGCGGTATACCCGGTGGAGGTGAATTTGGCGAGCCTAATAATTGTTGTTGAGCGAATGGATTGACAATGCGTTGTTGAGAAAATGTTGATGGAATGTGAGGCGAAATGGGTTGAATAGGAGCAAAAGGTCCATGCGGTCTATTTGAAGATCCTAGAGATGAAAAATCTGTTGGCTTACTTAAATTTGTTTCGCTTGGTGATCCTTTGTCGCTGCGTTTACTGTGATTATTCGGTGGAACTTGCTCTGTGCCGAACGTTACCCGTATTCCACTACTTCCAGAATGATAAGTTTCGCTATCAGGTCGAATCACCGCACGAAGAGTTGTCGATGGCTCCGGCAATGACGGAGTTACAGCTTGGACGTTGTCTGTTAAATATTTTTCACCTTCGGAGTTTTCTGAATTAATTTCCTCGTGTTCTTCAACTGGAGTCAATGCTGGTACTGGGGTATCGTAAACAACACGTGGTTTTTCGTCACCGTATTCTTGCTTTTTTTCATACTTTACATAGAAAACTTGAATTGGTTCTTTTTTGGATTTTGATATGGGTGGGACAGTAGGCGGAACTGGCGTCGGAAGTGATTCATTCGATTCTTTTATAATAATTTCAATGATCGGTTCTGGTTCAGTGGGATAATAATTATAAGGCGATTCTTCGTAATATTCGGATTGGTCATCGATTTTTGATTCTGCTAAAGGATTGTACAATGGATCTCGTTGAGAATAATGAGCTATTGGTTCCATCTGCACAGCATATGGAGGTGGACGGCCATTGCGACGTGAGTGAAATGATAAATGTTGTCTTTTATCACGGCTCTTCGTTTCATCTTTCTCGGCATAAACTGCGAGGACGCACGCCAGTATTACAGTCTTTAAAATATAATTATAAAGTTTAAAAATTTATTAAATTCCTTAACTATGACAAAACTTTTATAAATTATATATATTAACTTTAATTGGAGATTATTAATACTTAGTATAATCTACTAATAAAAATATTATAATTTCTTACTATTATATGCGTAAGATAATACGAAGAATTTTGTGAACTTACATGCATTATGTGCGATATCAAAATGTCACATTTTTAAATAAAAAAAAATGAATGCACCGTATCTTATCTAATCTGATTGTTATTGTTATTCAGTTAAGAATGTACGAAAAATCATTAGAAATTTAAATTCTATTTGTACACAGTTTTATTAAATATTATAGATAAGTTGTTAAACGACGTACGCTGAAAGTTTTTTAATTTAATATACTTTGACTTATAAGAGAATCGAGTGATTTTTTTCGTTCATATGATAATTACGAACATATAGTTGCCTAATTTCTTATTTCATTTTTTTTTCTATGTGGCGCGATCACTTTATACTTTAAAATAATGTACTATGTCCACGTTATTATTCATAATAATTTAAATGTCATACTCATTTCCTTTTGTTTGTGAAAGCGGACCGGATATCAAATTATACACACATAATACATATACAAGATGTCACATTGGTATATATAAATAACTAAAATTATATTTCTTAATATTGATTCATTTTAAACTTAATTTAATTTGAGTATAGAAAGTTGAATAAGAATTTTTTATTGAAATAATAATCATTTTAAATACATTGAAAATGTTAAACGAAGTTGATGAGACTTTCAAGGTCAATGGTGAGCATTAAACTTGATTTATTACCGAAGTTTTAGCGAAAGTAGACATTTAACCTAATGCACGAGATCTATTCATGGAATTTTAAATTATATCCGGTTAAGAAGCAAAGCATCTTTTCATACGACGAGGCTATGAAAGACGCGAAAGAATAAGAAAAAGTGGAAGGAAACTGTTTTCAGCCCAATGTGAGAAAAGAGATTTTAATGTATTTGACTCTTGATCATTGTATTATTACTCGTATTTCTAAATATAGGATAAAAATATTTTTTATTACTCATTCTTAAATAGTGATTTAGAAATTTTTCATTCGAAATATCTTTAAATTTTGGATCTTACATTATTCCAATGTAATGATAGAAAAACTAAGTTATTATTATTCATTTGCCATTATTTAAATAAAATGAAAAGTTAAAGAATTATTGGTTAAATGAAGGTATAATTATAATAAATTGATTTATAATTACTGTATATAAAGTTAAATAAGTTTATAATGAAAGATGATAAAACTGTTAATTTGAAGTGCATGGAAATTCTTTCATATTTCATACAAATAATTTTTAAATTTTACGAAGATATATGAAGAAGAAGTCAATAAAAGTATTCTACATTCTATATAATATGCATTTAAATTTATAATTTAGTTAAACATTTGTATCTATAAGAATACAATTTTCTAATTTTTTTTTTTTAAGAATCAAATTGAAGCTTAGGGGCTATTTTTATTTTTCCAAGATACACATGTAGTTATTTTCAATTATTCTCGATGCGTATGTTCATGACGTTCCTATTTAATTACACGGATTGGCCTGATTTCCAGATGAGGTATTCATATAACAAGGAAACCGTTTATCCGTGCATAGATTATTTAGTTAATTCAGCTTAGTGACCTAACCCTGTAATGGCATAAAGAGTACGAAATAAGATAACGAGAAGCACCTTGGCGAATAAATATATAAGTCATTTAAGAGAGAGAGAGAGAGAGAGAGAGAAATAATTTAATTAAAGTTTGAATTTTTCTCTTTCATTGAATGCGATTCCATTGCTTTCATGAACTTTGAATTTTTATTAATAAATATAATTGTGTAGAAACGATTAGATAAATATTTGCGAACAGTTTATTCGGGATATTTATTGTGAAGCATGTGAAGTTCAATTACAATTGTGTAATAAAATCATATGCATTAACTATAATTATATTTTTGTATATGAAATTATGGGGCAAATAAAAAATATAATCAAAAGGATAATTTATATATATATATATATATATATATATAAATTTCCGAATAGATAAAAGTATATAATTAATATATTGTGCGAAGTGTATATTAAATGGTTATTGGCGCGTGTTTAATAAAAAAAATTACACATTTTGTAGTCACACATTATATAAAACGCTTACTATTGAATAATTTATGATATTAACAATACAAGATAATAAGTTATCTAACAATTAATAATAATAATATATTATTATATATTAGCGTATATAAAGAATTTATTTATAATTTAATACGATAGTTTTAAAAAGATTTTTAAGCTAAAGCTAAATTATATTTCAATACGTCTGAGTTGATTTACTGCCATTATTATTAAACATACTTTCGAAAGTAATTTTATATTCCGATATACTTTAAACAAATGTGATCTTTGGCGTAGTAAACGAGAGAGCGCAAAAGATAGGGATGCATTAAAGCTCTTGGGATAACAAGTTGGTGCGAGCTTAAGAGATGAGGGATCATTGAGCGGCAATGTGAAGCGGGGAAAGTA